TCGCGCGGGCCCAAAAGGCCAAGAACGAGCAGCTGGAGAGGGCGGAGGGAGGGTGACGCTTCGTGATCACCTGCAGATGCGCGAAAACCGACAAGCTACACCATGACTGTGATCGACAATGACTGCATCAGTGTAATACATGTCGAATCTCGAAAGAAAAAACACTTAGAATCCGAATTGAGGCTCTATAAATATACAATATAAATAGAACTTCTGCATCAACGTAACTTTAACTAGAAACTATTTACATTCAGATTTGAAACGTCACTTTCCGCCTGGCAGTAGCAACACCCAGCCATAGAACTCAACCCGAACAGTAACTAGCAAAGCAATGCAAGGCGGTCGCGCAAGTGACTTCCGCAGGCCAGGAAACTGCAGAGGTACTCTGCATTCAATCCAAACACACTACCTGTTTTTTGAAGAACAACCCAAGCTAGATCCTGAACAACCGCTTTGCTGGGACGATGTTTCTGGAAAGCCGCCCAAGATTGAGAAGCTTCGTGCTGCAAGACTTGAAGAATGTGAGGTTATTGAATAATCCATGGGATCTTGGGATCTGATTGGTCGACCTCAGAATGAGAAGGTCATCCATGGTGTGACGGTAGAAAGAATAGGGTTCCCCCTGCCAGCTCTTTGCGGGCTACTCCTTCGGGAATGTAGAGACCAGCGAGCTACTAGCAGCACTTGCATGTACATAGCCGTCTAGAGGCTAGTAGTGGATAGCACTTGTAGTGACACTTGCTTGTCATACATGTAAAACATGTATGGAGACAAATCCATACTTGTGAACCCATTTAGGAAAAGGATTGCAGGCTGCGCACTCTCACTGAAACTAATTTGCATTTTCCCTGGCACATGCGTGCAGCCAGAAACGAGGGACCGAGAGGCTTCAAATTTTGGTAGAGATGGTAGTTCACTTTGCGAGAGTTCAAGAGTTTTTTGTAAAGACTTTCTTTGTGTTTTTAAAGCTTGTGCATATACAGCTTTTTAACGACTGTTGCTGTTTGCTCAAGTGTGTGTGAGAAGGGCGCATGCTAGTGCGACCTGATTGAAAAAATGTGGTTGCCCTTTCGGATTTCCCTGTATCCTTTCAACACCCAAGGGTGATTAAATTTGACCTTGGACATTTAGTTTCCGCACTTCCGAGTGGAGCGTGACTACTGCGTGACTTGTTTGAGAGATAGTGGAGGAAACCAGTCTTGAAACAAGTTGAAACTCTAGATTCAGGGTATTTTTGATGTGTGCCCTGCAGGAGCGTGCGCTCACCTTCCTCTACAACACTATCAACGAGGAGATGGAGTCAAAGGCGGCTTCAGCCCGTCCAATCGCCATGTGTTGATGCAAACGTCATGAACCATCGTGGGGCCCACGGATTCAAATACACACACACACACCTCGACGCAAAATCGGTTTGGCGCCTTCATTTCTTGCAGCTCCTATAGACGCATTTGGTATCCGATATTGCCTACACGTCAGGGAGGCAACTGGATGTGCGCAGGACAGTTCACAAAAAATGTGGGACCTGCAGAGACATTTGACACGTGTACTTGGAACATGTGGTATGTTTGTTGCTGGGGTGCTTTAGTGGGGGCAGTGCATGCCATGTGCCCAGGTCTGTCAAACATCACGTTTTGAAACATGTTCCATTCCATTCATTTCACGGCATCCAACACAACACCCAAAAACACCGCTCCATGCCCTCAGAAGGGTTTGACCATGCCCTCAGACCAACTATGCTCCATGCCCGAGACAAGGTCCCGATGGGGGCTGTGGACCTTCTGGTTGGGGTAAAAGACCGACTTCGGGACATTGGAAGAACGTGTTGCAGAAACCGTTCATTTCAACCGTAGAACGACGTGTCTCAGCATGGAGAACCGCGTGCCACTGGGGGCCTAGGTACCCATGGTGAACCGCGTGCTGAGCCGATGCCTAAGCACTGAGGCCAGTAGACTCTCCACTGCTTGAAATGAGAGAGCTTGCCTGAGGGTTACAGAGAAGTGGTGATTTGTTTTGGCATGTGTCTTATCAACATGCAGGGTGTAACGGCATTTACATTCCAACAGACGTCCAAACAGATCCCGCAATGGAGATGGAATCATGCTGCACTGATGCTGAGATGGTAGCATCATGTAGCATCAGTGACGTGGTTTCTTCCGCAATCCCTCTTACTGGTCCTCATCATTCACTCAGAGGGCTTGGTCTCATCACCATCAAACCCAGATCCAGTGATGCGAGAAAATGGGCCGCTGGTCGATCCGCTGTGGTCGAGCGCTCGAAGCTGCGCCCCGGGCCTGGGGCGCTCGAAGAATGGTCGCTCGTGTCGTCATTCCCCTGGAAGGACCCGGAACCGAGGAGGGAGCTCTTGAAGGTGTATTTCAGTGAGAAGAGTGAAGAGGCTGGAAAGCGTTTTCGCCGCGAGCGATGGCCGCTTTTGCTATCAGGATGTTTGAGAGCCCACCGGAACTTTGCGTTCTCATGGCTATTTAGGGGTGATTTCCCCCATTCCCGCGTGATTTTGATTGATTAGATTGGCCGCATACATCCGATTGCTCGAATATGATTTATAACATCTACAAGAAGTTCTGATGGGCATTGCCAATGCCCATCGAGTATTTCTTCGTGCTGACCCATGGCATTTCTCCTTCAAAGCTTTGCAAGGAGCATCCATCAGAAAAAAAAGCATCAACAGCCTTTGAATCGTTCAGGTGCCAGGTGATTCTTAACATTGTTTGCCAGTGTAAGCGTCTTTGGAGCCAGGCAGATCTTGGGGCGATCAAATCTCATTCTTGCGAAAAGTCAATCCCCCCAACCCTCAGAAGTCCAATTTTTGGACTAAGGTTTCCTGTGGCGCCATTGGTGAGGTATGTTTACGAGCTAGGCTTGCACCAGCTTGTCAGGATAAGCCAAAACTCATGGCCGAAGCGATTGTAGGCCTTGCCAAAGAGGTGGGGCAATTTGCTGGATCGGCGGGATTTTTCCCCTGAGAGCTCACGTGTAAAGCTGGGCAGGCTCGAATCAGGGCGGGCAGGGTTCTGTTTGTTATGTTTTGTTGATGCATGATTCAGGTGTAGAAGTGTAGATTCATGATTCGACGAGACACATGACAAAACACTGTCGTCACGTATTGCCGAGGTCGTGTTCCCGCAAGTTCTTGTCTCAATCCTTGCGATGACCTGTGCCACTTTGATTCATTCTCACTTCGCCCAAGACCACTCTAATGTTTTGCTTGCCATCACGCATCTCTGGTTGTACAATGTTGTACAGCTATAGTAGCTAGAGTCCTAGAGGATCAGGCGGCCGCCTGCCTGTCATACGCCTGCGAGGCGCAAGGGCAAAAGGATCAAGCTGGTTTTGATCTGGAGAGACCCGACCTTAGAAACCCAGGTCAAAACGACCCGCTAAACCTCGTGGGATGAGTCGTGTCTTGCGTCAGGCAACGATTCCTGGCCGTCACTTCGAAGGTCATTTACGCAGGACATGAAATGGAAGTTAATAAGTGGATCAACAAAAATGCGTATAAAATGAACAGATCACTTCCCTTGGTTTGATGGGGCCGTTGCCATGACCGCCACATGGACGGCATATTCGCACAGCACCGAGGTGCTTTGGGGCGAATCCGTGAAGTGGCCCTGGATGTGGGCGTGGTGGCCTCTGAGGTGTGTGGTGAGGAGGCGTGGCGCTTAGCGCGACGCTCCGCGGCGTGGCGAAGAAGCAGTCCGCGGAGGTGAGGGGAAGACGAAGCAGCAGCTGGGAATTGGTTTGACTTGCCGACTTGCAGCATTCGACGTAGACCAGTGATCACACGTCGATGTGATGCTTTCTCCTCTCCATCACTTGCTTCAGTGGATGGGTGCGGGAGTTGTCAGGTGGTGCGGGTTCTTATGCCTCATTTTCAATATGCATTCATCGGGCAGGCTGTGCACATGAGTTTACTGTACGCACTTTGGCAAGGCCCGAGTAGGTGGGAACTGAACGTCCAAGAACATTGTTTTTTAAATATCAGTGTTTTGGTGAACGGCCATATTCAGACATATGCAAACTGCAAAGGAGAACAAACAAGAAACAACCAGCGAAACTAAATAAACCAACTACTGTACAATAACAAAAATAGTTAGTCCAATAATAAGAATAGTTGGTCGTTTTTGGGGGCTTACTCTTCTAATTGAGTTTTAGAAGGCTGGGAGATTGGCTAAAGGCGCTTCATCTTAGTCACTCTACTGTAATCCCATGTAATCCCATTTTCTTTTTCAACCGTGACCTGTCAGTCACTAGTCAATTTGGCTGGCCTGAGGTTCAGGAACAGTTTATGGAAGATATCCAACCGCTCTTTGATCTTTTGGTCTAGGTGCGGCGAGGCGCATGTGCGAAGCCGCGCGTGCGAAGGGGCGTGACAATGGGAAGACAAGAGGGCAGCGGCGACACCGAAGAGCCACACAAAGCCCAACTTGTGTCGTCAAAGGTGCAGGTCAGAATTTGTGCATGACGGTGCATGCCTCAAGATTCAGTAACCTTGACGAACTTGATTATCCCTACTGACGTGGTTTTGAGGACTCGCCATCTTTGAGTTTTGCATGTCATCGCACTCGGCGCTCAACACCCCCTTTTGCTCGCTCTGAGGTTATAGACAAGGCTTGTCACCTGGGCGGTGGGGGTGACTTATTATTGGCTGGTGCACCAGGTTTCTTGGGTCATTTGGATGTCGTAAGTGTGGGCAAGTCATGGGGCAAGCCACTGCAGGATGATTGGCTGCGTTGCTGCGTTAGATTGCACCCACTGACTGAGGTGGTGCAGACCATCAGGTGATGTATGGCTGGATAGCTTTGTACCATTTATATACATCCAGCTAGTTGCCTATTACCATTTGCCCTCAAGCATGAACTTCACCCACCCCCAGGTGTACATGTTCCACGCGTTGATTTACTCAGCTGCCAGCACTTCACTGGCCCAAGAGCGCGCCCTTTCAGCCGCCGGGTGGCGTGCGGTTTGTTGCACGGCCCCACATGGAGAAGCTGGAGGAGAACGAGTCAGGCTTGGTTTTCAGACCCAGCTTCAAAGTAGATCGAAAACATACCGCAGATGATGAGATGAGGGGTCCTTCAAAATTGATCAAAGATGTAAATGATCGAGGTGGATTCTCGCAAGCTTTGTTAAACGGACTTCAACCGTTGGCATTGACCTGTATCCAGATCATAGTCATCGTAGTCAATTGCAGGTACGCGACCCAGTCCGGTAGTTCAGCATGGTACGTACACATGAACTGTTTTCTACCCGGCCGACCCGGGTACATTGTTCTTTCATGTTCTTTCTTTGGATTTGGGTATTAAGTATATATATATGCAATACATATGTATATAGTTATATAAGTAGTTATATACACATAATATTGTAAGTGCACACTGTCAATTGCTTTGGTCTACCATTCCCAGCTTCATTGCCCTGCAGAATTCCAAGTTTGCCACGCAGTGGTTGGTTCGGGGTATGTAGGTAGTTGTATAAGAACGACTGAACGGGGAAGACACAACCATGGCAGTGAACAACCTGCGATTGCCTAAACTAAACGAAGCCAACTGTTTTGGGCCAGACGCATGTTTGACACAGAGTGTTCCTTGCCATGAGCTTGTCAGAGTGTGAATTGTTGGGCGATGTGAGAGTGTTCAGCTGGCGAACTTGGCCGGCGAACTTGTGACTAAACAACTGGGGCATATCTAGGGCCCAATAGTGCCCTATAGAAGTCAGTGAGTGATGAGGCTGTGATTCCTTTAGAGGGCCAGCTTTGGAAACTTATGGTTCGGTTCCACCCCAAGCCCGTGCCACCGCCGGCCCACGCTTCAGCCGCGTTTCCCATCGGCAGGTCGTTGGCCTGAGCTCCACGGGGGACCTGAGGGTCAGTACCATAAAGAGGCCACGGGCCGATGGAGATCCCTGTCCCAGCCATCAGCGTGCCCTGGGTTCGCACTCAATATCGGAGTTCGGAGAGGATGGCCGGCGTTCAGACGACCATGGACGGTGTTTTTTTAAGGCTTTAAGGGGGATTAGAGGATATTTGTAAATATTCGGAAGTGACACTGAGAACACTTCTACGTTTGTGGTTGGTGGTTGATAGTGTGAGTGTAGGAGTGCTGTCCGCATATTCGTGAGGTGGCAACTGGACTTGTGTGTGTTGTTTTTTGCCCTTTGGCTTCAAAGGCTTGTATTTTGTTGTGCTAGACTGAGTCAGACTTGCGAGCTAATTGAGGCTCACTAAATTTTGGACAGTGTCATTCAACAGCTGACTCCCCGTCGGCCATGTTTGACCTTCAAGTTGTACGGCCGTTTGAAGCTCGCAGAAACTGAGAGATAGGACATATGATGAAACACTATAGACCTTTGAAGGTACTAGTAACAAGTGCATCGCTGATAGTGTGCATACAAGTGCGTTGCTACTAGTAGCAAGTGCATCGCTACTAGTAACAAGAAGCTACTAGACCTTGGAAGAGCTCCAAAAAGGGATTCTCACAAGGTAGTCAGATGCTCTGCACTATCACCTGGGGAGTTGGCCGACGCCGAGGCCACGCAGAAGCAGCACAGACGGCGGATCAGCGGTAGACACGACGGTGGATCCCGAAGTGATGGCCTTTCAGAAGGCGGCACGCCATGTGAAGCTGGAGACAGGCGACGGCGGGGGTTGGGAGTGTCATGAGAAGTTCGAGGAGGTTGCTTTGTTGGGCACTTCAGATTTTCCGGGCGCCGTCATTGTGGGGGATGTATGATGAATTTGTCTTGGCGAAGACTTTGTCAATGCATGGAAAGTAAGGGTGCCGCCCCTCCATGAACAAACATCACACGCCTTTTGCAAAAACTGTGAGCAAAAAGGATCGAAGAATGGCTCCATTGAACTCGCGCAGATTACCGAGCGTATCATGGATAAAACGTGACAATGATGACAATGTCCCTCCTCCTTTTGAGGGAGCACTGGTGCTTTGGCATTGTTGGCTTTTTCAGGTAAGCTTTGGGACGCGGCCCAGCGGCGGCTGGATTCTAAGACCTTTGAGAACTTGAAGCGGCAGGAGGAGTTAGAGCGGGCCCAAGCTGAGGCGGGCGGTCACGACACGTCGAACACGCCGACACAAAGAAGTGGAACGAGCGAGTCTTGGGAATCATTGCTTGGAACTGTTGTGGTTTGCGGGGGTCGTCAGCATGGAAGCCACGCGTAGATCACGTGTAGACATCAGACGTATCATCTCTACTGGAACAGCATCATTTGCCGTTTCACAGGAAACCGCCTCAAGGGAGAACGACATGTACAATCATGTACGGAGCATGGGGCGACGAAACCGGAACGGACGTCGAACACGGACGGCCCTTGAGCCCAGGAACAGGTCCGTTCCTCAGGGCCTAAGTTTGGAACCTGTTGGAGATACGTCCTGGGGTGGGGTTTATAAGGTCCCGGGGCCAACATGGTCCAAGCATCCAAGCAAAAAAACACTTTGGGCAAATCATGACCACCTGGTGCACCTGAAGTGTTCGTTTGTTGCGTTTCACTTGTTCCTTGTTAGTTTCGTTTAGAGTCTAGCTACAAGCTGGACTCACCACCCTTGACTCGGAAGAAAGGTAGCCATGTCGAGTGGAATCCTCAGATGATCAGAGTGGGATCCCAGTATCAACCACTCAGAGAAGGAAGAAGGGAGTACGTGGGAAGGCTTGTAAGTCTATATATTCTTATGTATTGTGTATTGTATTGGGAGTGAGGAGCTTTGCATTTTGCTTTTAAAGAGTGATCGTTTGGCCTGCGAAGAGGCTCATGCGGGCACCTTCCTCACGACGCCAGTCGTTGTTTGTCGTCATGTCACCCAGGGTTGCTCCAGGCCCCAACTGCTTCGAACTCGTTTCAGGTGGCCTTTGAAAAAGCTCGGCTGGAAGCGACCTGGGCGATGCTGTGACTGGGCAGAACGCCGAAGGAATGGTTTCTCACACTAAGTTTTGTAAGCCATTTCACACGTGCACCAGGGAACATCAACCATTCTAATCATGATCCATTCTGACGTTGTAGTCAGTACATGTTGGTCTAAGATGGTCGAAGCAAGGTAGTTCCTTGGGCACTCGGCAAACCATTTGCAAGATCGCTCTTGAAGTTCCCATCCAGTTGCCGCACCAACTAAAATTTTACTTTAAAGTAGATCGAATTACGGCAAAGCTATAACAGTCTTACCACAATACGGTGTTCCTGTTGGATCAACACTCAGGCGCGGGCGATTTTGTGTGTTGTCGTAGGCACCGATTTTTTGCACCTGGTCAAAGTGGTCAGCAGTTGAACATGGTGGTCCCCAAATAGATAGTGGCTCAATACAATCCATTCTTGGTGATCTACGAACTTCTCTCTATTTGGGGTCTATTATACGGAGAGAAGAAAGTCATTTGACTTTGCTTGACCCCGTGGAACGGTTGCTGGTCCTATTTTCTCTAGCTGGGTAATGCACGTCGCGACGTTGGCGTTTCTTCATGTTCTTTCTCCACGGTATACCCATGTTGAGCCATACCAGGATACCCAAATGATCCAAAACGATAGTGTAGAGTGTAGTGCTGAAGAGAAGGCCTTTAAGAACCCGAGACTATCCCGAGACTATCAGAACCCGGCTTACCATGGCCTAGCAGTGCAGGCAATCCCCATGGGTCGTGACTCCCCTGGTTCGTGACTCACCGGTCCACCATGTAGCTTGACAGGTCAACCAAGGTGTCCTGGTTTTGGAGGCCAAAACCTGCGAAGAGAGGTTGAACAGCCTTATGGATCTTATAGCCCATCCCATATGTACCACTACAGGGTCTTATAAGGTCTCTCAACCTCTCTTGGTGGTTTTGGTCAACCGAGGACCTGGCACCTGTTTCATCCTTCCGCAGCCCCGAGGCGTCAAAGCGCCGACCGCCAGGCCTTGGCAGAGATCGCGCAACGGGCATCCGGGGGCGTCACTGGGACCGGTTGGAAATTGAGGTCGACAGATTGAAGGATATTGAAGGTCACCACTTCGAAGATGTCAAAAGCATAAAAAGCCAAGGATCTACCATCCCAAGATGTGTGAAATGCTTTGAAAAATACCGTTTGCAGCATGTCTTTTCCGCATTCCTTGAAGCAATTGGACCTCCAGGTGAACCGGGACTAATTACAAAGGATCGCCTCAATCAATCGGAGATTCTCTAAGAGCTTTCCAATGATGTTTGCGACTAGTAACACAAAGCTACGCACGGTGGAGGCCATCGCTATCAGGTTGCAGGCGGTCGCTACGAACGTAACAAGAAGCTAGTAGTTGGGGTCCGGGTTTCCACTTGAGGGCTTTGGAGCGGCGCACAATGCCTCACAGATATGTCCCGCCAGGAGATAAAAGCCCCATGATTTGCGGGATCCCAACTTCGTCACCAGAAACGATGTCGGACCGCAAGAAACACCGATGAGCTAACTTCCGCTGGCCATTTGCTTTCCGTTCCTTGAGCTGAAACAGCCTCCAAGGAAGGTCGGTGCCTCTCCGTGGAAAAGGCTCGGCAGCTCTTCGATCCCAGCGGCCTCGCGTCGTGCCGGCGGAGCGGCTCGAGCCGTCGGGAGGAGCGATCGGGAAGACTCTGGGGAAGACCGGTTGGCCAAAGAGGGCACGGGGAGCCCAAAAGGGCACTGTCTCAGAGGTGTGAAGATTTCCTAGGTGGTGGTTTCGGAATATGTTCAACCTAGGTTCAACCTTTACTAAACCCACAGACTATTGGTGCATGTGAGCTGAAACCGGTATCGGCTTCAGGCCATGGGTGTCACCTGGCGTCACGTGTGGCCTCAGGAGAAGCACCGGAAGCCCCCCAGGCCCAAGGACCCCAAGGCCGCCATGGGTGGAGCCTGAGTCCCAAGGACAGGATCCCATGGGTCCGAAGGAATGAGCACAATGAGCACATGGGATGTGGTGGGGGTGCTGCAGCATGCAGGTAAGAATCCGGACATGATCACTGTATATGTTACCTGTTACACGTTTTGTTAACAGTTAATACTGCTAAAATCTGCTAAATATAATCGACATATGAATGTTTACAGATATTTACCGCTAGAATGCCAACTAGAATCTAGAATCCGGCTATCAGAGACCCCTGCCACGGTAATCACACAACAACTCGAGATATCTCGAAGTCTACACTTGCACAAGTATAGGGCACGTCCTCTTCTTTTGATTCGTCTCATTCCGATGACGCGTTTGTTGCGGAGAAAAACCTGATGTATACGAGACTCGACTGTTGTCCATTTGGCTGCTCCAGGACCTGCCTTCATCCGATGGAATCCAAAGAGATGGACTGGCAGATGGGTGGAGCCGTCTCCCCGCAGCACTCCAGGTCCCAGGAGCACTCAGTTAGATGATTTTGTTTAGGTCCCAGTGCACGCGTTTGCACGCTTTGCTTTTCATGATTGGACAGAAAAATCATTGATCTCGCTAGACGCTTGATGCTGGGTTCTGGTAGCCACCTGTGATGGGGTGGCAGCCTTTCTGAGTTGAGGCAGCAGGTGAAAGAACTTGAGGGGTCATTGAGTGATATTGAGCTAAGTTTGGATGGTTTATGATGTTTTTTTAAGAAATAGACCTGGATCACTTGCCAATTCGGTCCATTGTGGGGCCGGTCTGCAGCAATTCGGTGCGCTCCACCACGACGTGGTATTCTCTCGCGCCGGCGAGCGAAGAAAAGTGCGGCGTGGCACGACCTGACACAGCCACATCACAGAGTGCATCCCATGAATTCATTGAGTAGCAATTCTTGTGACTCATAGAGCAAATAAGTACACATATATGTGTGTGTATACAAATTAGTCATGGATCATGTCGATTTTTGCATGTCGCTCGTCCAGGAGTGCCCGACCGGTCCAGGTTCCAGAAGCCAGCTTGGGTCATGCTTTTGGTTGCCCCGTTCGTAGCGTCCTTGCTCCTAGTAGTAAGGCCAGGAGCCCCTAGTAAGAGCCCCTACAGGCAACCAGGCCATGTCGTCACTTTTTTTGAGTGATTGCTACCCTGCCTTGGGGGAAGGCTCTGCGGAAAGCCGTCTCTTTTTCCCCAACACAAGCGAACTCTGTTGGTTGGAAAGGGACCTACTTTTAGGTTGTATGCTGGGGCTCTCATCGAAAGGTGTAGTAGCTTCTTGCTCCGTCCGCTGAATCACCTGAAGATTCCTGATCTTGCGGGCCCATTGATCATAAATGTCCAGGATGCCACGTCCAGCGGAAAGGCCACCAGGGGCGTTCTTCGCATAAACCGGCCGACCACATGGAGTCCAACCGCAGCTGTGTTTGCTCAGACCCGGCCGGCACGGAGTGCCGCGTGCCGGAAGTATGGTCCAAATATCGGCAGAAGCGATGAAATCTGCACCTGATTTGGTGCAGTGTCTCGATGAGATTAACAAGGACCCGACTGTAGGCCAGTGCGCGCATGTAGGTCAATTGGATTGCTTACATGGCCATCGGCAAACTGAAGGCAGTCGCGGGATATGATAGACATTTACTTGTAGCTAAAGCCCCTTGAGAACCGTGTCGGTGCAGTGTGTGGCTAGGGCCCGAGAAAGAACCGAGAAGAACCCTCTATTCTTAAGTATCCATGTCCTTTTCAAGACATCAGCAACCAGGACATACGGGGTGGTCTCTCTCGTTGTAGGTATGGGCTTCACTGTGAGATGTTAGACAAACCATGTAAAACGATACCAGCGCATGAACAACGATACCTGTGTCAGTGGATTTGCGTCTCGATGGATTGCTCGTTGCTCTTTCCAAGATTTGAAGTACACGGTAGTATGGACTGAGACTGAGAAATGACTAGGTTTGTGCTCATGGCCATATAGCCAAGCATTGTTCTGCTTTTCCGTATGCGTTCCAAACATATCCAAAAATGATATGCTGGAGCGAAGAAAACACACGATACCAAACCGATACCAAAAATGATGCCAAACCTACGAACATTTGCTAGACCCTGGCCAGATGCCCAATACTTTCAAGTGGAAGAAGCGACAACAGCATTAGCTTCCAAGACGCAAGAGACTGCTGTTGTGTCTACGGGTAGGTGAGGTGATGCAATGTGTGATTTCCCTTGGAAGACGACACCGGAAAATCAAAAAACGTGTGTGTTTTCAGCTATTCCATGCAATGGTTTTACTACATGTATGAAGATGATTTCTTTTGAGGGTCGTACAAGACAGTTGAACCTCCAACACCTGAGCACAAGCAAGCCGTGGCAGGGTCGGGGCGGCTTTATCGGGAAAAGACTTTTCCTTTCTGTTTGTGCTCATTACTTATCACCTGTACATGTCATTGCCTACTGCCTGCAAGCCCTAACAGCTGTTGCGCCATTCAAAGTTAGCCGCAAATCGAAGGAATGAGGTGCATAATGGTGCATACAATTCCTTCGTTGGCCCTATTTGGGATGCCATTTACCAAGACTGACGGACTGACGACTCGATTGCTTGGTGGAGCTCATGGCACCGCCATGTCCGATTCGCCACCCTTAAGAGGTCCAATACCTTTCGAAAGAGACCGCACAAACCGGACCCGCTCCGGGACCCGGTCCCTTCCATGACTGGCCAGTGCTGACGCAGGAGCTACAAACCTCCACACAGTCGGTGTCGGATCAAATCCAGACTTTGCGGGACTTTCTGTCTCCGCCATCGGAGTTTGGTGGCCGCAGGACGAGCGACACCGGCGAGTTTTGGGGTCGGATTGGGTCGATGTCAAGGATGTCTTCTGATTTGTGGGTGGTGAATCAAACATGGAAGGAGAACTACCGTAGGTGGACGAATTATTCAAACCCTTGCAGACTTCACCCCCCTACCCCCCATAGTTCAATGTTGGCCTGTTGGTGAAGGAGGTTGGCTTGAGTGGACGAATCAAATCAAACCCCTGACAACAAAACATCTTTTCACTGAGACAACATTGAAATCGGGGGTGCGGGGGTGGTGGTCTGCTATGGTGGTTTAGGGTTTGATTAATTTGTCCATCTACTGTAGGAGTCAGGAGCTAGCACCAGCTGCTAGCTGCCTAGCAGCTGCCTAGGTCCAGGCCATGTGGCCACGTGAGCGTGTGACAATCCATGTAGTTTTCTTGTATTGTCCTTGGTTGGGAACCAGGAACGAGGAGAGCATATAAAGGTGCAAACATGTTGGATTATGTGTTATTCCTGCCTACTTAGCCTTTTTGGTCCAAATTCGATGTTGCATATGGTCGGCAATGGTTGGCTAATGTTACAAGGTCCGCTGCGAGGTCGAGGTTGGCCTGGCCCGGCCCTTCTCCCCACCTGTTGTACGGGAGTCCGGGCGCCTCCCGCCGCAGGAGCTCACTCTCATCGCCCGCGAGCCCTAGGAACAAGCCTTTGAAAGAGCCCCCCGCCTTGCTAGCGCATCGGGGGATCAAGGCGGAACGGAAGCAGCAGCCGAAGGCGAAGCCAGCCGACGGTTGGGCGCACACGCGTGGAAAGGGATGCATTTGGCAGTGCTGCTTCAAGTCGAATAATTTCTTTTAGGGCATTAGGTGGTACTGCATAAGATCCTGGCTGGTAAACAGTAATTAGAGTGAAAAGTCTGCAAGAAAGTATTGGTTGAACAAGGCGTGAACATGTGTGAACCAATTAACCACAGTATGTAAACAAAGGGCTACAGCAGGGGGGCACAAAGAGCCATAGAACTGCGCAGTGCCCAACGAAGCTCTCCATGGTGATCTTAGGATGTACTGCCTGATCAGCTGCATGTGCCAGACTAAAGACGATTAAAGTAAGTGTTGAATCCCTTTGGGACAGCGCTTGGCACGCGCGCACACACACACAGACACACCCACGCGCGCAGACACAACAAGCCGTGTTCATTGCACCTTCTAGTTATAAGGGATCTACGATTGGATGATCCATCATTTTGAGAATTTCATTGGTTGCTGCCAGTGGCAAAGTGAAGTGACCCAGGCAAACGACGAGCGGATAAAAAGGTGTAGACCCCAGTGAGGAGGAGAAGGACGTTGCAGCGACGTTGCATATTTTGTGGATGAGGATTGCTGTGTGGAACACTTGTGTGCCGACCAGACTTATTGCCCAAAAGGCCTTTAGAAAAGAGTGAGCTGAAAGAAAGACCAGAAAAGAACACAAAAAAGGAGGAACGTATTGAACTTATGGCTAGACAGCCGAAGACATGGCTTAACTGCTCCGTCGCAGTTGCGAGGCCATAGTGGATAGAATCGGATTTAGAGTAGTGTAGGCCATGTGGTCTGTAAGATGGCAGAGATCAGGTCAGACCTCAGAGATCATGGGGTGCTTTCGGTCAAGAAGTCCGGAAGCGTGAACCGAGAAGTTCGACCATTGCTGGGGTTGGTTTCATGAATTCCACAGTGGGATGGTACCACAGGGTTGGTTTCACTTTGAAAAGGATGCATCTCACGGTGCTGATTCAAGCCCCAGACATTTAGTAGAGCTCTTAGACCTTGGCTGGTGAACAGTAGAGTGAAAAGTTTGCAAGAACGGTATTGGTTGAACAAGGTGTAAAACAATTGAATTGTGTAGACAAAGGGCTTTCACATGCAGCTGATCAGGCAGCATCTTGAGCTGGAGACACAGTGGAGAAGAGGTTTATATAATTCCTCCTTCATCATGTCCTTTTCACCCAGACCGCTGCAGTAATTACTTTGTCGTTGTTTCATTTGGTCACCTTCTCTTACATGGATTTGTGAATGGTCTAAATCAACTGCCCGACGTGCACCGACGTGACCAAGCTTAGCCGTATTTTTGGGGTGCAGTTCATTGGACGGTCACTCTAAGCATGCACCCATGCCCGACTGTCTTGACTTCAAGAGTCGATTCAAGAGGTTTCAAGCGTCAAAGGGCATTGCTACTAGGAGCACGGACGCTACTAGGGAGGGGCTCCTGGCCGTACTACTAGGAGCAAGAATCACTCCAACTGCTGAAACAGCTTTGGGTCAAGGGCCCGGAGCCTCCCGTTCGAACCGCGCAGACTCGCGCGCAGGTGGCGCCGACCGTTTCGGCCAGAACAGGCGGGGTGGCATGTGCCAGCTGAGTCAACGGAAGCCGCGTTGACAACGCGGAAATGCGGCTTCCCTGCAGGCTTTGACAACTTTGAGGAAGGACATTCCCTAAAAGGGCCACCCAATGTTGATGCACTTGATGACTTGATACTTACCTGGCTGTCATCAAGATTCTACAATTAATTGACTCTGACATGTTGATTCAAAAGTTTCTTTCTTTCACTTGAGAGTGGAACACTAGGCCTTTGGGGGCCACCGGATCTGAACTAAAGCAGCTGGCCTTGGAACTGTCCCTTCGCAGGCGGTGGCGGTGTGGACTCCACCCAGCTACGCTTGCACGGTCGTTGGATGGACTTAGCCACCCAGGCAGCCGAAGCGCCCACCTCAGACGCTAAGAAGAAGCTACTTGGCGTGGTTGTGGTTGTTGCGGCAAATGCTGCAGTTTGTGGTTGACTCCAACAGAGGTTGTCAGCTCCATATATATATATATTCTTATGTATAAATTACATACTGTATATGTTCTATTAATTCATGTTTCACATTGTTTGACAACATAATTCTTGAAGCCAAATCCAGCGAACCTTGCAATCCCACTGGAAGAGACATTGGAGAAGATCAAATTTGCCAATCAGCTATAGTGATCCCCAAATTGATAGAAATGGTTTCCAATACAATTTTGGTGGGGATATACTTATCTATTTTGGGGGGTGTATATAAGATTCAATATATTAATCTAATTTCATATGTTTTCACTGAAAGGATTCGAAAGGAGTAAGCCCTTGAGCCCCCAAACTCGGCGTCCTTGAACAACCCTTGAGCCGACCCCAAACTGGTTACCCCCACTGCATTGTGATTTTCACGAAGTAAACGTGTCGAAATCAGACACATGCTGTGCGTTCAAGCTTTGACCTGCGTACCTCCGCACGACTCGCTATCAACAGATCCAATGCGCGACCGCATTCTGAGGGTGAGGACCAAGTTGCACCTGAGAATCCTGGCCTGGAATATGTTTGAGGGCAGGGCTTCGGATCTAAGGAATCGGCCTCCAGATGGTTGGACTAGTGAAAGCGGGTGAAAGCATTGAACATCATTACGCCGTCTACATGTTGGAGTTTGTGTGTTCCCACTGTTTATGACATGTGTGCAATTTGCCCCTATCAACCTCCCAGCCTCGGGTATTTCTGGGATCAAATGAGATTGGGGACTCGGGAACTCACGGAATCAGTGTTGAACTGAGAAAAGGTAACACTTAACTCAGGAGGATTGCTGGCAGAAAGAACCACAAAACAACGGGATTTTGAGAATCTACCAAGAATTCTTAGCTTTTCGTAGGGTTCAGATAATTAAGGGTATGGGGGCTTCATATGGAATAAGTATCCCTTACAGGATCTTACAGGTTGATGTTAGAGCAACTCCTGATGCGTTTGCAATACATCATGCCATAAAGGATTGGCATGTTCCAATGGAAAGCACACCAATGAGTTATATGTATGTGTATATAATGTATCTACATACATACATACATACATACATACAATACAATACAATACAATACAATACATAAATATATATTATACACATACTATATGTGGGACAGAATGTGAGCGAACAGAAGCAGTAACAAATCCAACGGAAACATTGCTTCTACTTTCGTGTGGGATGGTATCTAACTATTTTTATTTCTTTCGGGGTGGTTCATTGAATTCTCACAATGAGTTTTGGGAGTTGTCGAGCTTGACCTAGGCGCAATTGTATATATATATATGTCTATATTACTATATGTACGTATTCAGAACTTGACATGAATCAACCCACCAACGCCTCGTTGATGTCATGTTTTGGGGATGTGTTTGCCACAGACTGTTTTTCACGGGCTGAACGCTTCTGGTGCAGCAGAAGCAGCGTGTTCCGCTCAGCGGCGTTCCGCTTCGCCGGTCGCTGCCCAGGTTCCGAAGGTGACGTTGGAAAACGCACCGCCTCGCAGATCCTGGGGATCAAGTTGATCCTTGGCGGGTCGGGAGCGAATTTCCCTGCGCGGCAACAGCCGAGGGGGTACGTCGGATTTGGGAGACACTCAAGAGCTGAGGTTGGTCAAACAGTGCAAAATGCAAGTCGTATAGCAGATCAATATGGTGAATTTGCATGGCAGAATGGAGATGATGTCATTGCATATTGTACCTGTAACGCACTCCCCTTTTCGGGCACTGGCATTCCTAGACCTCACCTCAGGTGACGAAGGCCCTATACAAGGAGTTTCAATTTCAATAAAATGATGAACGTTTTCCAGACCACTGCCAGTACATCAGGGCCGTGTGAATCATAATTACTCATTCAATTCTAACTCTTTAGCCGCCCTTTTTGGCCCATAAGTCCTGATTCGAATCACCAGCTTTGGGGGGTACATCTCGGTCCTCTCTCTCTCTCTATATCCATTTGCCCTCACGGAATCGACGTGGCTCGGCGCCGCTCTCCTCCTATCCACGAGGATCAAACCGTTTCATCCACACAGCGCGTTCCGAATTTGCTGGGATCTCACTGCGCACCTTGGCGCCCACGGATCTCGCCACGTGGGTCGTGGGTGTTCCGTCGCCCCACGTGTCACTCGTACGCCGCGCGAGGTGGGTTACTTCATGCGCCGCCTTACAGGCGGATGGTGCTTGTTTGATGGTAAGAAACTCCTGGTAAACCTGTTAACTGTGTCATGATTGTGTGCAATTTACAACCACCATGCCACTATCAATCATCTTAAAGGTGCCGGTACTAGATCATCCATTTTCATCCTGTTGTGTCAGACAGTTTGCTGGGGACCTGCATTGAAAGGTGCACATTGTTTTGTCTTCGAGTTGATCATGGTGTAGCGTCATTATTCACACATAATGACTCTCCAACAATTGGACTTTCGACCCTAAATCTTGACCAGGGAGCCACCCAACACCGGTTACCCGGTTGGAGCAGAAAAACATCTCACATGTTTGAGTGCTGTTTGCTCCATGAAGTTGGTGTTGTCCCATTCACTGTGGCACACCCCAACCACCTACTGTGGCCTTGCAGCCATGAAGGGCAGCTTTTAAAGCATGTGGCGATGATAAGCGATGTCATCATCCTTGCCCAGTCCTGCGCACAACGGAACCGTCATTCTGTGGGCACTTTGCTCTCAATAACCATCAGCAAATAAGTCAATTTTGTGTGTTAGCACTTGCATTTGGGTCTCATACATTTTGATGTCTTGTTCGTGCCGCCCAACCCTAAGTCCCGAAATGGACGCCAGATGTCACCTCCTTAGCAGCTCCAGCGGCGATGGTAGTACAACACGTGCATCCAAACATGAGAACATGAGAGTCGACAGCAGCAACATCACACTCCCAATAGCCAACCGTTACACACCCATTAGCCACTCCCCACATCCGTCTGGTCGCTGACACACTGACTGTCGACACGTTCAACCAGTCGCCTGTCTCGTCGTCTCCAAGGATGGTTTTGATCTTCGGGGACACCGTGCTGTTGCCCATTGCACTGGCCTGGGATATCTCGATGTTCGATCAGAGCGGCCAGGGACGCAACCTTTCTTTCCTAGGCGGGGTCCGTCACCGGGTCCTGCGGTGGGTCCTGCGGCGGGGCTTTTGCCTTTCAGAGAAACAAAGCATCCGTGTGGGTGGTGCCTCTAGTATGAACATGTATGAAGCACTTTCGATCCGGGAGCCTCTCAGAATTTCAGATTTCCAGGTGCCAATGGATGGATCATCCCAATTCTAGAAGATCGACCCGCATTTGATGGAAGATAGGAGGGGTCTCAACATATTATATATCATGTTGCTTGAAGCGGATAGGTCAGGATTTGGCAGTTGATTGAGCTTGCAACTTGGCAATTGCAACCAACCATGACCAACCTATAGATTTGATAGACCTGGGGGTAGCAGTCATTTGGGCGTGGGAGCATTTGTAACACCTTTGCTTGACTAGCAGTGCCAGACTTTGGTACTTGCGCCGTTCCGCCTGGGAGCGTCCTCCTCTCCAGGCATGCAGCAAAGCCAGCCAAGCCAAAACCATGTTGGCTCACAATAATAAGAGGATCAGGATGTGATTGGGTTCCTGGATGCACCTTCGAACAGAAGGAAAGCAGATAATTACAACACCCTCACCATAGAGCCAAAAACCGGCCAAGGGTGTCTTGAAAGAGGCCAACACAACAGGTGTTGAGAGAGGATGATGCACCACAGTAGGATGTGAATAATTGCACCATCCAGGCCAATGTTCAACTCTTCTTGATTTGCTGGAGGGTTTTGTGTCTTTTTTTGATTGGTGTCTAAGAAAATGGCTGCTTGTCCATGCCAGGTAGCATGTTATACGTCAGCTTTTGGATTAGCTTGACCTTTTGGACCCTCGATTTGGCGGTGAACCTCAACACGGCCACTTATCGAAAGGGCACGCTGTTGACCTCACGCACACGGATTCTCATCAGCGCCTCGGTTTGATAACACCCCACGGGACCCCTGGGCTTGTGGGAGATTTGAAGCTTATGAACGCTTTGTATATATATATATACATATAATATTACTGTGGCGCATGCTGCATGAGCGTTCAAAGATTCAAGGGCGAGGTGCAGACTACATTCTCTACTCACCACGGCAGGTTGTGATAGCCGGTCCTGGTTAATTGTCACGCAAGAGGACCACATGCACATGTTGATGCTTCACTTTGGCACTGTGCTGAAGAACTGCCTCACCCCACCAGCTTGGATGGAAGGCAATCTCCACGGTGGACACACATACTTCAGGCAGACAAAAGATTATGCTTGTTAACCATGTTTAAAACCGCTGTAGGGTCATCTGCGGATCGAACTACCAAGTCCAATTTTCGCGACACGTGTGGGACAGTCAATGATCATGCCGTTTTGGTAAGGGTTGACATGAGTTTGTGCTTCAAGAAGCACAACTTTTGTTTGGCCAGTGTAATGTTTGCTCAGCACATGGCAGTATAATTACTAATAGCTTCACCCACGCAGGTGCACAACCCAGGCAACACACCCTTGCTCCTCTCGTGCTTGAACAAGTGTCGCTCTCTTTTTGCTGTCGCGCTTCGTGCAGCTCAGACGCTGTGTCCAAGGCTACATGACGGGATGGTTGACCTTCGACCTTCTCCTCCTGTGCTTTGATATTGTTTATCTCACCAGCGAGTCCTATGTTTCGGTCGAGTTTCGATTGCTAAGAGTGACCCGGATCCTACGCCTACTTCGCCTGCTCCGGATGCTCAAGCTGACGAAGGTCACTTGGTGAAAAGGCATGTTTTTGCGGCGGGTGAACCTGGCCAAGGCTCATGATGGTGGAAGAAAGGTGGCCAAGGTAGGAGACACCACGGACCACGGCTGCCATTTCATGGATGGTAATTGTAAGTACACGTAAGATCACGTAAGTATTGTTAAGTTGGATCATGTATGTTCACTTCAAGCAATCCAATTCAAGTCTTTTCGTGAAGTCCAGACTGAATGGAAGACCAAATTGATGATCCTTGCAGGCAATGGCCCTTACAATAGCATCACATTGATGCAGAAGACCCTTGATTCACGAGTGTCAGCTTATGTCAGTTTTCTTACTGTAAATTTCTGGAAGCCACTTTGCGGCCCAGGTGACCCAGGTGTCCTCAAAACAAAGGCAAACGTCGAGCTGACACGGGTCCAGGTCATGGGTGACGACGACTCATGTCTCAGACCGTGTAAGAAGTATCAATCAACTGCGGATTCAAACACGAACACCCTTCCTTTGATCTCCCTACCGGCTATTTACACGAACATGTAATTACACTTATAATTATATATCTAGCCTGGCTTCTTCTGACACAAACATGATCAAACATGCATAGCCAGAACATTTGACTGATAGTCAGCTATAGTCAGAACTCTTTCTGACTATTGGTTAGGATTCAGGAATATAGGATAATCGTCAGAAAATAGTCTAACCTGATAGAGCTATGTCTCGAACTGCGGCGCCCTGGATGCCCTGGCCCCATGTTTTCGCTGGGACCAACTGAGAGTGACGACTTCACGTAGGCCGCCACCGCCGGGCCGCCGGAAATTCCATTTGACAGGTCAATAGCATCATCGAAGAGAGTGCGGCCAACAGCGGGCGTCAGTGGGTGACCGTCGTGATCGCGATCGTCGCTCGGTGGATCGCGGTTCGGTGGGAGTTCTCCCAGTGTAATTGCATGGAGGCTGGCCCAGATCTGGTGCACCACCATCAATCTATATGGTATATATGATACACTTCCAGCCCACAAATCAATTCCGGAAATTGGAGTCACTGAAGTGCTCATATGTGCTCATGTTCATGTTTTCCACGCCCTGATGTGTTGCTTAAGGCAAATGGGCACCCGCGCGCATACTCCCCACCCTGCATGTTCCAGCTCTGAGCAGCAGGGCCAAAGAAGGGCCGAAGTTCCAATCGCCAGACACTCCATGTGCAAAACACCCCACAAGATATGTATGTTATATTCAGCAGACATACATCCCATGTGTTAATTTACATTTTTTGGATTTGGATCTATGTCTGTTTGCTAAAGTGTATATATTGTATGCCATCCATGGAGCGTGATCTGGGGATTTGTTCCGGAAAACTTCTGCGGCATCCGTCAGAGACACACGCCGCTCAGGTGAACACCACGATGCTCATCCTGGTTTGCGTGCACATCCTCACGTGCATGTGGTTTTGGGTGGGGCGCCTCACCGAGATCCCAGTCTATGAGGTCTCAGAAACTTTGAACGAATATGGCAACCTGGACGCAGCATGGTGTGGTTTGAAACATGCCAAGGGGCAGCCTGCAACATGCTACCATGAAGATCCAAGAAGCACTCAGAAGCACTGAAGCTGCTGATCAGCTGCTGATTAATATTCCAACCAGCTGGCGAAGAGGATTGGTTTTTGTTGGCCTAGAATCAGAAGGGCTTCATGGATTGCATGGGTTACGGAATCCATGACTAGCAGCCAAGCCTCAACGAAAGGATCGGCACATCGCACATGGAAGTGACATCCGACTATACCACCGTACTATACAGCAAAGTGAATCGTAGATGCAGCCCAGCCCAAGCCCCGGTCTTTGGATATAGGCCCCATGGTCTTTGCTTGAGGCTACCCGCTGACCCTCACTGGAAGTTGGACACAGCTCGCCTTCGCCACGGATCTCAACGTGCATCCCGCCCTACAGTACCTCCATGCCATGAGATGGATCGTGAATAGCCCATCTCCGCCGGTGCTTGACCCCAACAGTGGCCTAGAACGAGGCCCGTGAAACGGCGCGCGAAAAGCTCGGGCGCGCGGGCCATGCGAGGGTCTGAAGCCTTTGTGTATGGACAAGGATTGGGTCAAACGATGTGTTGAAGGTAAGGTAGTAAGGTAAGGTATAAGGTGTATAGGTATATATTGTTTTTCCAAGTTCTTTTTCCCCTGTTCCAGATTTCGAGTGGTTCATGTCACTTAAAGCCTTCCCAGGATGTCACGTAGGGATACATGATACTTATAGGGGCCATCACAAGATCAGATTGAAGAAGCTGGCAGATGTGGACAGTTTCGCCTGTTCCATGCGACAGTTCCCCCAGCTCCAGTGGATGACTCGAGAACTAGCACGCGTGCCCGCACTCAAGAACTCTGTGACCAGATCTATAGCCATCTAGCGGTATCTCGATCAGTAACACCCTGGATTCCAACAAACATGCACATGGAACATGGCCCCTTGGAAGAATGTGTTCCTCTAACAAACATCGTTGGACCCGTTCCAGACAAGTCCCGGGGCAAGGATGAGGGATGGCATTGGGATGGCAGGGTCGTTTCGAGATCACTTTTCTTCTTGCCCGAAGCCTGTGACAGACCGCGAGTGCGACTATCGTTTCCAAGCCGCATGGGCATCCAAGCCTGATCACGAATTCAATGGGCATCATCCTCTCCAAAAAATAGAACAGCACGGGTCATTCTGCAACCATCGCATTTTGACGCACACCCACGTGGGCTATTGCTGCCAGTGTCGCCTTGGTCGAAACGCGACCGTCTCTGTCGGACCGCCCCTCCAACGTCGCGGCGCCAGGCCTGGACATCGCCGTGTCCATCTTCGTGATCGCTGTGATCGGTTCCGCGGTCTCCAAGATCAGCGGGACCTTGGCGGAGTTGACGCTGAGCGGCAGACGTCGCGACGTGTCGCTCCGTGTCGGTCCGTGGCGAAAATTCGATCCGCAAATCGGTGGTCCATGGCTGGGTGGGCGGCTGGGCGGTGGGATTGACCGGATGACATGGTGTGAGTGACATTGGGGTCAGAAAGGCCTTAAATCCTCTGGATAATATGATATGATGAACAGTTAAGACAATCAAAGTGTTGGATGGATAACTATTAATTATGGGCTTGATTGTTGAAGAGCAAGCTTGCTTCATAAGTTTCAAGCCTCCTTGCACCTCGTGCTTGGAGTGCTTTTTAGACGGATCTTTCGGACAGAAGGTTGTTTTTCTGTTTCTGGGAAGTGCTCGATGCATCTCCCCATGCATGTGTCGGTTGCAGAACTTCTTCTTGACCGAGTTGAAGAACTGCAGTGTAACATGCTGCGGACTCAACTGCGGGTCGACCAATGGTGGATGGAAGTTCTGGAAGTGGCCGGGCTTGGCTACTTCCGATAACAGCTTCTGTCCTATGAAGGCCAAGGAAATACATGCATGCTGCATACAGCATACATCAACTGTGATCATTGCTCACAGGTCTTGTTTTTTCATTTCTTGTCATTTCTAGCCTATAGTTCTGGCTGGTGCTTACTTGGTTGACAATTAGGAGATTTGAGTTTCAATCACTCATCCCTCCATCCCACGAGGAGAGCCATGAACGAAGCGAGAGATCGTCGAAGGCGCGAGGTGCGCCAGTACCTCAGCAGCCAACATGTCTCCTTTGAGCTCGTGGGTCGCATCATGCGCTTTGTGGACTACAGGCACCGGTGGTCCAGGGAGGTCTCGTGTGTCGCCGGGTGCCACCTAGCTGAGGCGGTTCAAGTCCTGAGGACTTGGGACGACTGGACGCGGCAGCCAACGGTGTTTCTATATCATTAGACATGGCGAAAGCCTCCGCACTGCGAGGAAAGTTCCGAGAAAGTAAACATGTGAAATGCTTGTGTGAGATTCAGCGGGAGTTGTTTCAATTGTTTCTTGTTCTGTCCGTGTCGCAGGCTGGAGAAGTTTTCCACCACAGCACTTGATACATCCCTGATTTCGCCCACCTTGCAGCTGGAGTTGTACGTGGGTCAGCGAAGCAACTACGTTCTTGAAATGCCCATTTTCAAGCTGCTGAACGAGCCTCGCTGTTGGTTTCCCGATGGCCCGGCAGATGCCCCAAGCACGACCTCGAAACCAAACAATCGCATCCGATTGTGTTCGCAGCACTGACCAACCGCCAGCCGCCAGCGAGGTCCCAAGTCTTTGCTGCGAGGTCCCAGGTTGCTCAGGCCAGTTGAAATAGAAAGTCTTGGGAAACAAGAGGTGCCGTTTTGGAAACAGCCTCCACGAAGTTGTGCCATGCTTATTGACATGCCAGAGGAGCCCCATGATTCAATGATTCTACTTTTGGCCCATTTCCAAAGATACCGTAAGGATGGACGGGTGAACACCTTTTCAGGGCCACAGCTGAGGAATGCTACCACGATGTGTTTGGATCGGTTTGCGCGGCGCTAAACAAGAATGTGCCTCAGAAGCAGCATTTGCCCTTGTGACGAAGGAAAGACGGAAAACTGAGAGACTGCTTTGCCAAATATCATGTACATATTACTGTAATAAAGGTGTCAATCTCTTTGTTGTACAGCATGGAGGTCTACATATAATTACCCTATACTCTATAGGTGTGTATTGTGTATATAGTTATTGTGTGCATTAAAATAGGGAGACCCCCAAAGACCCTCTGGAAGATGAAAATACACCAAAAACCTATATATTGGCTGGGGACCTCTATATTACAGTGTTAAAAACACACGCCCCATATATGTTTTTAGTCAGCACTTGAATTCAATTTCCCATGGTCTTAATATGTTTGTCGAACAAAAGACTGCCAGTTGGGAGCTAGTTTCATCGGACTGGTCCCCAAGTGTAGCATACCCGTTTTTCAGATGTAGAGCACTGCAGATTGCGATGCACATGAACATCACACACACACACATACATTTACTGATTTGTTATATTTGTTGCGATATATTGCCTGACTGTCCCGAGAAAGCTGAGATGCCCGCACACCATGCTCACCAGTGAACGCACTCAGGTCTACGAGAAGGAAGAGAATGTCTTTGTGGCCGGATCATGGGTCTCCTACCTACACATCACCGCAACCGGCACCTATGACTACATTGAAGGCACCGGAACAGAGAGCCGTGAAAGGGGTTTTCCAAAACCACAAACCACATTGCACCTGGCGTGCTTTGACTGGAAAGGTGGGTTGAACAGCTTATTATTGCTTCAATCAAATCCACTGAATGCGATTCAACCACCCTTCCCATCCAACCTTCTCGGGCCTCTTGAGGTTCCCACGACGAACTCAGGGAATAGGTGTAAGGGCAGGAATCGGCTCACGGACGCTGCCACAGGCTTTGACCAAGAAGGTGAATGCCATGAATTCTCGGGCGTCAGGCCAGAGTTTGCTGTCGGGTCTTGAGTTTCAAGGAGTCCTCCTAGTTTTCCACAGGGAGAAACTGACGGTGTTGCAACCACCTTCAAAAGCCACGGTTGTGCATGCCCCTTTTATGCCTTTTTGGTCATTTTGGTTTGAGATGTTTGGTCGGTAGCATGGCTAAATGTAACGACGAGTGGTAACAAAAAGAGATCAAAGGCAGCTGTTCACGGCCTGTGGATGTTCAAAACCAGGATTCCTTGAGATTCCTCTCCACCAGGAGTCACAGAGCTCGGGGTGGTGTTTAGTCCCGAAGTGGGATGTTCTGGGCGCCCCCGACTACCTCCATGGATAGCACCCGTTTGAAACTCTTGGCAGATTGATTTTCTTTGTTGTTCAGTTAGGGATGATTTACTAGTACCAAGTCTTCCTAGTGTCAGCCTGACGCATTTGGCCTTTCCTGTTGTGACCCCTCCTGCTGCGGGAAGGGGTCCAGCCAACACTCTCAAGAAGAAGAAAGGAGGGGACTCTATGTTTGGTGGAATGTTGTCCCTAGTATGGTGTTGTGAGAATGATTGCCCTCAACAATCATGGCTACGTTGCAAGAGTCTTCCATTTTTCTTCCCGCGCCAATGTGAGGTGGTTCGGTGAGTTGAGCCTTTACACCGAGGGCACGCTGCATCAGTCGGGGCGCCAGGACATGGTGTGGTTCGTCAGACATATGCTTTGTCGTGGTTTGGGCAATTCAGCGGCCAGTCAAGAGAACTGGCCTACTCATCGGAACGGGCACTTGACAAGTGAAAGGTTGAAATGGCCTTGACAAGGCCAATAGTGAATAGTGTGTGGGCCAAAGGCTCCGCCAAAGGTCTCGTATTTACTGCATACATGCAAACATATATGACAGCTTAATATATAACGTACAAATTGTGTATACACATATATATATATATGTATATATGTATAGAAAAGTGACGTGTTTGTGTGTGATGAAGAGGTTTGATGACTAGTCAGCTGATGAAGAGCCACATGATGATGTTTGATGCTGTGTTTTGCGATGTGGTGACGCATGCTGAAGTGTCACCGTGGGGATGTGTGAAGGGTAACGTGATGAGCTCCAGTGCAAGGTGGTGAAGTATAGGTTGGTGAAGTGTATCATTCGGCAGCCTCCAAATTACATCCAAACCTGCACGCACTGTGCTAACAAACGGTCATCATGTGATTCAACCAAGTTGAAACTTCTGCTTTTGGGCCATTGTTCACATTCACTAGTAGCTTCTTGTTCCTGGTAGTAAGGCCAGGAGCCCCTACTACCTTGCTCCGTTCGTAGCGATGCCAGGAGCCCCGAACGTAGCCTCCTGGCTCTTTTCTTTCCCCCACGTTTGCTCGTTTGGACGCCCGACGCAGCACGTGTTCGCGAAGGTCCTCGTTGTCTGCGCAGAGCTTTGCAGAGACCTTCACCTTATCGGGCCAAGACCTCGCGGAGTGTGTGAAGCAGTCCAGGGGATGCTTCTGGGACTGGCAGTCGGTCAGCTCCCTAAGCCCACACGGGTCATATGATGTCATATGTGTGGCTTACTACGGGTCATATATGTTGCTTACTAAGTTGGTCATATATATATATATAATATGTATATGTGACGGTATTTTTTCACTCAGACCCCCCCCGGCACCCAACAATGAGTTGTGGCCTATGGCCTATGGCTCCAAACCTTCCAGGGGGTCGAACTCTGGGGTCTTCCTGGCCTCTTCTACACCCATGTTTTATCATGGTTTACGGGCGGAGATCCGATCGATGCCTTGATGCAGGGTGTGTTGGATAAAAGCAAGTACTGGTACGTACGAAACATCAACCCCGCCAAAAGCAAAAACAGTCATTGGAAGAAAGTGTAATTTGAGACTGTGCTCAGAGACTGGCTGCTCTGAGTTCGTATGTGTTTTTCTTGGTTGCAGCCCCCATGATTGCGCACAAAGCGACAAAGCGCTGATTCATTGGATCGTTAATACTCCTCACTCACGGACATCCAGCCACGGCGAAGGTATGTCTATGTTTTGTGACTACGCCAAGGACGGGAGAATTGATTCTGTGACACTCAGATGAGGGTTGCACAATTGTAGAGTGCTGGCTGGTCACATGATTTTTGAGCAGATACTTTCCCCCGTGTTTTGCATCAATAACTGCATGGCCCTCAAACCATGAAAGAATGAGGGACGAGCTGCGGCATGTTTTGGCATAGGCACTCAAACTCAAATGATCTACACATGTTTGTATATTCTGTTGCAGCTTCCGTGCTTTTCGACCCCTGGTATTCTTATACCCGGCATTTCTTTTTCGCGAGGACTTTGTGTCGGCGATGCAGGGCACCGCCACGAAGTGTGGAGATGCGGATCAAGTGGAGAAGGCGGAGGAATGTTGCAAGAAGAACCAACACTACCAGGAGTGAAGACGAACGTGGTGCGTGCGTGCGACGAACGACGAAGAGAAGAACGAAAGTGGTGAATGAGGAAGTAGACCCTACTCACCACCTGGTCTTGAGACCAAAAAAGGATCCGGTAAGCCTTATATATTCCACTGTCTAAGCACCAGTCAGAGGAATAAAGTTGGTGGCGGCCACTGACGGTCAGAGCAGCTTAAGGTAGAGCCACGGTAGAGCCACAGGCTAAGCTTGAGTGGTTGAATGTGGTTTTCACGGCAACCGGGGGAAGTCGCACATACAGACGGCTGAAGAGATCGTGCAGGCACCGGCGTGTGAACGCCAGTGGCCCGTTGGAGGCAGTGGCAGTAGGCCGTGACAGGAAGAGTGCACCCATCCCATATCATCCCATGTAACTTCCAGTGAAGGTGTCACGAAAGAACGAGGGTCCCAGGTCATGTTGTATATATATATATATACAGTATTATTCTTTTTTTGCTGGTGATGTGTGCCTCACAGGCGCTCTTGAGTGCCAAATACCATTGCAACAAACAACAAGAGGCCAGCATCGGTTCTGGACCAGTCACATATCACAAACTGTAGCACGACCATTGGTTCAGGACCGTGACAATTGCCAAGCAAAAGGGCTGTGGATTTGAAGAGTTTTGTAGTTCAAGCTATTCCCCACTCTTCTCAAAAGACCAGTTTCTGGTCAAGCTGGCTTCCCCAGAACCAACTGAAGGCCGCATGGCTAGCACCTGAGGAGCTGTATCCAGATCCCAAGACGCGCTTGCACAACATCCAGATCCCCAGCACGGCGAGCACCGGGGGCGAGAGCTCCGAATTATCCGCTTTCGCACCCGGTGAGCAGGCGAGACCAGGGAAGAACAACACGACAGTGCTAAGACTGTGAAGCTGACAAGTTCTTCAGCTCAAGTTCTGATCCTGAAGGACTTTGAGTTTGCATCCTTTCTCCTTTTGTAACGATTCCTGCAGTCAATTTGGTGTTTCTTTTGGAATGTGGTGCCCAAGCCGTCGCTCCACTCAGGCGCGTGACGAAGAACGCACAGAGAAGTCGGAGGACGCTCCGGACTGATTCGGTTGGGAGACTCTCTCGCGACTCTCTCGCGGGGGGGGGGTTAAGACAGACGCAATCAACCAGACCAATAGAACCTTTTGGCACTGTTCCTTGTAGATGACAATTGATGACATATAAAGATTCATCACCGCATCACCAATTATGAAACTGTATTGTTTGGAGTATAATTTGGTATTTATATAGAACAATGTATATTTATGTATTATATCGTTGCACATTCCATCTCCTTCTTACCATATATGCTTTTTACATGAAACACGAGGGAAACAGCAAGTTGATTGAGGTTTCGCAAGTCAAGGCCACCGCAGGGAGTGGATGCACATGGCCCCGTGGCCCCTCCACGCCGAGCTTCCCAGGGGAGGTGGGAGGTTGAAATGACGTGGGACGGCTGCAACGTTATATATTTATATATAGCTGCTTGCTGCTTGGCAAGCGTTTTTTCAGTCTGAAATGGATTTCCGTCCCCTAAAACAGGGTTGGGCAGCCATGTTGTTTATTTTCGACCCGTAAACCCGCATATTGTGCCACTCAGTCTACAAGATTTGAGGTCGAAAAATCGAAAAACATGGGTTTGACATGCTTTGACCTGACACTCCCTGTAATCAGCATCCTTCAATGACCATTTGTCCTCTACAAGCAGGTGGAAAACCCCCTTCCATTGGTCTATGAATTTTCAGGGGCGGCTGCTCCTTCTTTGTGGCTCTTCCAGTTGCAGGTCCTGCGGTTAGTAGTGTCCCGGACTGCTTTGCCAGTAGTTTCAGAGTAGATGGCACTGATGGGGGTCCGTAGGACCACCACCGACGTGGGGATTGTGCCATCGAACCTCTGAAACCACTATAATACCGGTTCTCTATACCAGTTTTATATACTATATATATATATACCACTATATATTATAATGACTATATACCACTATATACCATGAACTCTTTTTTCTACAAGACCAGTTCTGGGCAGTGTAGCAACATCCGCATGGCGTCTCAGCGGTCACACGGACATCGCAGGAGGACAGAGCATCAACGGAGAATCCGTCGCTCCACTCGGTGTCCAAAGAAAGCTTGGGGGATTCAGTGCCTTGGCAGGCTGAAGACGGCTGAAGAGCAAGGGTACCATCATGGAACTCGTACGTGTTACATGAAAGTCCCTCAACATTCCCAAACAAAAAAAACCAAAGAATCCCGAAGATACCAAGAAGTAGCCACTAACGTCCACGCAAGCTAATTTCTCCACACCGATGTCTTCACCGATGTCTTCAGAACCGAGGTGAAGAGTGCTCACTTTGACTTGGTGGACTTTAAGCTCAAGCGCGAGAAAGCAAAAGGATTGACGGATCCAGGCTTGCCGGTATTCCTGTGGGGTGTCTTTCCGGGTTCTTGGCAGACAAACCACTGACTACACTCCTTTCATTTCAGTCACTCCAATCAGAAGGGCCATGGCCATTCTTTTAGCTTGGAGGCCATCGCTCTTAGGTTGGAGGCCATTGCTATTGGGTTGGAGGCCATTGCTATTGGCTTGCCATATTTGCTCCATCCATATTCGCTCCATCTGAGGCCTGGGCGGTTGGTTGTCTGCGATGATGAAAGCAGGGCAGAGCGTGGAGCTCGATGAAACCCTCCCAGCCAAGTTGCAGGACTGGTGGCTTTCCATTGCGAATCAAGATCGCTCATATCAAAGCATATCGAAGCTGAGCAGCTAAGTGCTCAGACTTTCCATGGTATTTTTATTTGAGAAGCTCAGGTGGCTGAGGCCTACAGCCACCACTATACGTGGCCCAGGCTGTGGCAGAGCAAGACCACACACACAATCACACACACACGTTGCGTGGTCTTGCTTCGTATTTGGCGATGCGACCAACTCTTCACAGAAGGGTTCTGTTTTGATGGTGCCACGGTGATGTTTCAAGTTTGCTGGGCTGATTTAGGGTACAAACAATTATGGTCAGCCCTCCAAAGATGTTTGATGGTACTTTCATGTACTTCCACTGTTTGTTGCACCCATGTTAGATTATTGTGATACAAATTCAGGATAGTAGTAACAAATTGAACATAGGCCGTGGTGGTCTAGGCAGCAGTAGCTTACAAATGCTTACAATATGGTTGCACAAATTTGTACATTCTAGATAGCTTAGTAACAGCACAAATAATGGCCTTGTCAAGACAAAATGCTATTACCGTGTCTTTTTCCAAAGACGACCTTTGTGTTTTCAAAAGAAACGGCGCTTTTAGGCTTCCAAACATCCAAACGGTGTCTTTAGGCATCCAAACGGCATCTTTCCCCATCCATGGATTTTGACCACATGTTATCATGTTTGCTACCCCTAAAATGGCACGTTTTATTTTTGGATATAACGGTGTGAAAAATGCATCCGACAAAAAACATGTGCCGTTTGAAGATCCAGGAGTTATATATATATACACATGCGCATTTTAATACATTTTATATTGTATGCACTCCAGGGCTAGGATTTCTTTTAGTGTACTTGGTGCAGAGAATCACTTTGGTTGGTGCAGAGAATCACTCTGGATGTTTCTTTTCAGATTCCTTGTCATAGGCTCTTACAAGATCTTACAAGGGTGAAGCAAGGTTCCAGCATTCTCGAATACATTGAATACATTGCTTATCCTACTTGCCATTCCTACTTGCCAATTATTATTCGCAATTGACCATGCTAAAGGCTGATTTGAAAATATTTCTAATCACCCTTTGGCCACGATTTCCACTCCCTCAAGGAGCTTTTACCCGAGCTCAGCCCGGAATTCTCTCCACACATCGTCTTCGAGCAGAACGCCGAGCGCGACCGTGCAGAATCCTCCTGTGGCTCGGAAGCACCGGATCCAGTTGAGACCGGTCTGGCCCTGTCAGCATGGACCCTTGGGACCTCTCACCTGGTGCCGACACGGAAAACCGGAGTCGGGACCTTCAATCCGAAGCAAAAGCCTTTCCATTGGAGTCGCTAGGGCGGCCGATCGGTCAGGACCTCCGTTCCGTACGCTCCGTGGTTCACGTCAAGGTCCAAAAGGCCTGGCTTAACACCATGTCCATTCAATGCAGCCATGCTCAGCAAGTAGAGGCTTTGGGACTAATTCTTCCAAGGCTACGCCACATGTTTTTTTGGTGACATTTGCTTGAGACTTGAGACATTCCTCGAGCCCGGTTCATTTCCGCATATAGTCACATAGTATATTGATGGTTTTTGACATTGGCCGAGAGCTGGATAGATTCCAAGGACGGTCATTTGGTCATGGCTGGATACATGTGCCGCAGAGCCCAAGTCAGGTCACAGCAGTCAGACGTCGGTGGCAGATGGCCAATCAGTTCAGGGGATCTCCTGTTGAAAGCCACCCTTGTCCAAAGTGTATTAATCCTATAAATGCTAGAGGGGCGTCCACTGGTTGCTTGGTCATTTTTGAGAACGTATATGAACATCAATCATTGCCAGAATCCGGCTTGTTTGACAAACATGTCCACAAGTCACAGTCCTTTGGTGGAGCTGAGGCCTTAGCATTTTAGCATTACTCAAGGACGGGCTTTCGCTGAGCCGACTTTCCAATGGGCCTAGGGAAGCCCTGGCATTGCTACAATGTGGATGTGTCTCAACATGGGTAACCGCTTTGGGCTTTACTCCCTCAAAGTCCCGACCACGACAAAGCACGCGGGTCATGATGTCATGATTTACACTGACTTGCTGATGGTTTGTCTTGCTTCGTTCTATTTGCCGAAGATAATTTTTGTTTTTATCAATCCTGTTTTTGGGGGGCGCGTTTTGTGTTCCTATATACGCTTTGCCGAAGATGGACCCGGACCGTGCAGACTTCTCATTTTTTTTCCCGCCAGGCTGGTGGTTCGGGGAACGAACTATCCCAGAGAATCCATGGAATATTGACCTTGGGTCTATCCGTTCTTACCTGTAACAGTCAGTAAACAATTATCATCCGCTGTTCCTGGTAATGGGATAGATAGATCCCAATATTTACCATCCCATCGATCCCCGGAACCCACCCCAACTGATCGGTAGAATAGACACGAAAACGCGTGACACTGCCAAGGACACCACCCCGCACGAACCCGGCAGGATGCGCACGATTGTCGCCCGAACCCGGAGGATCGACTCGGTGCGTCCAGGATCGCTACGACATCTTCACCAAGCCACAGGCGCCGAACGTGAAGCTGCGGGCCGAGTCGCTCGGTGACGCAGCTTCCGGTCGGATGGGTTCGATCCGGAGGGCGGTGACAGAGAGCTGGCGTTCCGGAAGCGAGGTTTTGGGGGTTTCAATTATATTCACACAATGACAATGCACATGCAATAAGTACATGCATGCATATGCATATATGCATATGCCCACGGTCGTTTTGCTAGCCCGCAGTTCACGGAATTCTTCCACCACAAAGGTGTTTCCTGTACTTCTGACCGTGCATGCCAGCCATAGCAAGCAGTGCTTTCGATCAGCCCAGCAAAAGACAAAATGAGCGGACGGCTTGGGATGTCAAACCTTGAGTTGTCCCGGGAAAGGCGCCACCAGCATCAGAAGGACTTTAGGACCTTGTCCTAACATTTTCTGATGAAGTTGCATAGCCTATGTATCAATGAATGTGATGTAATACTGTTTAATATATATATATATATTATGGTATTGCAATCTATTGTAGTGCATGTGCAACACCATGTAATGTCAAGTATTTGTAGTGAAATAATGGGCACAGGAAGGGCTTCACTGGCAACCGTGTCATGCCCGCAAGTCGAGCCCCTTGACCGTGTTGGGAGTTTTCTGGCAAGCATGACTGAATGTTCGTCCAAACTTCAAGTCCACATTTCGGACTTGTTGTTTTTTTTGTAATATATATTGGTACGTAACCAGGACACTATTAGGTGGAGGCCTTCGCAAGTAGGTTGGAGGCCATCGCTATTAGTAACAAGAAGCTACTAGATCTACTAGTAGCAAGGACGCTATTAGTAGTAGTGACATGATTGACATGTTGGGTGGCAACCCAGAAGTGGTGTGCCACCAGACGGACCCTGACAGCTGAGATTGCTGAGGCAATGGCATGAACTGCAGGAACTGGTGCGATGGATTGAAGCTGGGCAGCAGTAAGGCTGAGAAGCTACCTGCAACATCCTGCCTGTTCAATCCTCAGGTCGTTCACATCATGGAGAGTTGAAAAGCAAATCGAATCGAATGCGTCTCATCCTCGGGGCCCTGAATCAACCACCGGTAGCCAGGGCCCCGGCGGTCGGTAGCCACAGTCACACCGGTAGCCACACCGGTCGCGTGGCAGCTGCTAAACTCGGAGAACACGACCATTTTGTGCTCAATGCTCCCAAGATGGAGGAAAGAAGATGATGTGGCAAGCCACTGGGTGAAGCAAACTATAGATTCTATAGATATTATGACAAAGCTGACCTCAGCCAAGTCACAGAAGCGACTCAATGGACGGCAATCACTGGTGTTTGCCAAGGAGCCAGACTTCGAACAGATCCATGCGGTGATGGTGAGACACCCAGCAGGGTTTTGAAGACCCTAGTGTGATCCCAAAAGGGGATATATAGGTGGGGAGAGGGGTCAAGATCAAAGACTCAAAGCGTCCGAGAACATTTTTGGAGGATCTTGTCAGGAACTTGGGGGTGACGACAGGTCAGCTTGGAAGTTGCAGAGCGGATGACCACCACTGAGCCATTGAAGCTCCTGCTCCGCTGCTCCGCTTTCTCCGCTCGCTCCAGGTCCTCCTGGCCGTGCGGGGTCTCGGGAAGTCCAAGTCGGTGCTTCAGCAGATGCCTCGTCACATGCGACGCCCCGAGAAGGCCGTGCTCTTTCTGATGGAAAGCGCCTCGGAATGGCCGGGGATGGCCGTCGCGATCAGCGCGTGTCCGGTGGCGGCTCAAAAGAACAAGGATGGGTGCCTTTTGTGCAGCCTTCGCAGTCCCAAAAGTCACGGTCACCCATATGATCCCATATGCCATAAGGAGCTTTCTGGTACCTTGCTATTCTGACACCCAGTTCCTATTTGGGAGACACCCACTTATACATAGACGTTCCTCATAATATTCATTAATTAACTTTGGCAGTTTGTTGTTTGCTGTGAGCTACTGTTGCAGATGGCAGGGGGAGACAGTTTTGTCCAGGGCGAAACATGCATCACGTGACCTGGGTTCACTCAAGGTCAGCATTTGGAAATGGCGAGGGGTGGGCATGAAACCACAGAGAAGACCACAAAATAGACTCTGTGCCCGTGAGCCAAGGCTAAAGCACGCTTAGTGATGTTAGTGGGGGGTGCAATGTCTTGCCGTTTTCATTTTCCAGATGCTCCATCCTAGTCATTGCTGGCTGCCATGAGCTTGTCTATGAATCAACCTCAGTTTTGGCGTGTTCCCTTACAATGAATTTACAAGTATGGCACTCACCCAGAGGCATGAGAGACTCTTGATGTGTTTGCATCATTGACCTTCCAGAACCAGAGCACAGATGTTGGCCAGTGAAAGCTGCCCAGTGTAGTTGGAAAGCGCAGCAATTGGTGGAAAGCGCGGTTCCACCTTCATCCACCTTCATCCACCTTCATCCGATCCGAATCCGATCCGAAGCGACCTGTGACCTTTTAGGTCAAAAGAATGTCGTGCCCTCTGTGGGATGGCTGGGCCCTCGAGCACTGCACGGGTGCTCAGAGTGGAAGACTGTCGCCTCCACAGCGATGAAGGGCATCAGGGCATCACTGCATCACATGATATCACACGTGTTGTTTTCATTTGTTTTCTAGATTTGTGTACCCCTCTTAGCACATCAGGGTGGTGTTGATAGCTGCTCACACCAAATCACCATAAATCACAGCTTTTTTGGCTGCACTAAGAACATGAGAAGAACACCTCTCTGGCCTTTTTTCAGGACCTTCATCAACGATGCCTTGGCGGTGCATGAGCTCTTCAACTTGGCGCAGATGTTGCAAGGAGAGAACTTGCCAGGGAACATTGCACAGCTTCGAGAATGCATCGATGAGAAAGGCTGGGTCGATCGAACAAAGCGGCGGAATTGAGTGGAAGAAAGCATCGGATGGAACCTTCCATGGGCCGAAGTGGGATTAAAAGAAGACCTGACAGGTTGGCGCATTTGGATGACTGGTAACTGCTAGCAAGAATTCTTCCAAAGGCTACGGCCAGGGCTTTCCAACCCCCAAGATGAAACCAATGCAACCAAACTGACCCAAATCAACCCATCATCAAATGCTTTTGTGATGCCGGTGCCCTGACCGGGGTGCGCAATCCACATCCGCATCCAGGATCCGGCTTGGTTTCATCCGTTTAACCATCCGCAGGATCCGGACGAAGACGCTTCTCCGCGCCACCGTGACAGGTCCCGAGGTCTTCCGGTTTTACATTCTTTTCCTCTTGGGCTTCATGAGTGGCATCGCCGCTGGCCAGGGCTCCCGCTTCATGAATGGAAAGACTCTTTGCTGAGTGGAGCATGAGGAGGCTTTTTTTTGTTGGGGGGGTAGTGACTTGTAGAATGAAATGGTATCGAATGAGTTTATGACATGTGTCATCTCTGAAAATCTAGTCCCACTTACTCCCGTGCCACCCCGGCCGGCTTGGAACTGCAGATGAGTTGTTTTTGGGTTTTGGCTCATCAGCGGCTCATGTAGGACCAAGACCCGTGAACTTTCATGGGCTTCCAATCTTTGCTCATGCTCTTTCATGGACCCCGACATGCACTGTCATGAACCCATGGACTTCCAAACTTTCAGAAGTTCATGTTTTATCTACCGCCTACATATACCAATCTTTATCCCTACCAGGCCGACCAACTCTTTACCAAACTTGTGACATGTTGTCGCTGTCTTTCCAGGAATGCCTCGTCAGTGATCAGTGGTGTTCGACTGCTGAAGCGTTTGATGGAGTGCAATCCCACCGCCATCTACTGGGGTTACTTAGAGGAACGAGCGCAGAAGCTTCGGGTGAGCTTCTATTCAGCAGAGGACAGCTGTCGACCCGTGCGCAGGCGTCTTTTTTCATGAAGTTCGACCTAGGATTTTGTGGGGAGGTTGGAGGTGAGTATAAGCAGCTAATTAATAGACAACAAGCGACTCCTCCACAGCACTGAAGACAAATAGCAAAGAAATTGTCAGATGCATGATGCGAAGTTCTCCAACAATCAGCATGGTCTGGCTCGCTGGGCTTAACACATTGAGGCCTCCCAAGTGTGTTTGCATTTCCCACCCGTGAAGGAGTCACGAGAGCCATTTATTTCTGCGTGATACACGAGGAATATCCGCGGCCCAATGCACAAACCGCGGTGAGAAAGTCAACTGCAAAACTGATTCAGCGTCAATCTGTTAATCTTTGTCAATCCAAGGGCTTCGTTTAGGAGAGGTAGCCCCGCAAGCAAACATGGACATTCCGTTGGTTTGTCTAATTTCTGCATAAAGAGCCTCCAGTAGAGGATACTTGTAGTGAGTTCGTGATGTCACAATGCATATGCCTGCAACCTCATGGTTGCCCTTTCTGGTCTGCAGTTCAACTTATAATCTAGTTTTTGTGAGCCACAGAAGCATCCGCAACCGACATCAACATCCGCTGAGAAAGCACGTTCGGGTAAAAATGCCGGTAGCTTGTGGACTCCAACGCCCGTGGAACATCAGAAAACTAGAAAACATCTGCAGACTCAAATATAAGGCAACACTCCAAAAGATGGTTTTCGCCCCGCAGATCCAAACAACACACTGGAATTGAAGGATGTGAATGACGAAGCCTGCTCAGTCTTGCCCTAGCAGCAATCACAACCTGGTTTGTATTCCAGGTGATTTGTCCAGATAACTATATAGATCCATTAGCTATTTGTGGCTTCTGGTATTTTGCATTATTACGCTTTCCTATTTTCCCGATTGACAGAATCCCTGCGATATATTTTGTGTTTTGTTTGCGTTCATGAGCCATGCAGGACTTGGTTTTGACGCGCTTATCATGCCTTGCTCGTGCACAAGACGAGAAGGATTATTTGCTTTTGCGCACCTCTTGGGATGCTCTAAAGGCCAGAGACCCTAGGCCGACGTTGAATTTCCACACCGACTGTACCGGAACCCGGTATGTCATCGGGGCTCGGGTGTTTTTCAAAGACCCCTTAACGGGGAACGATTGAAAAGGGGTGCACCGCCCTTTTGCTGCATCTCCGCTCCATTGGTGTGTTGGGTTCCAATGGGCTACTGGGCAGTTGCGAGGATAACTGGTGGCCATATGCGCCCTACCTTGCCGCAACCCCCCCCAAGATTGGCCGAGTTTGCCCTCAAGATCCCTCACAGCACACCAGGGACCAGAAGGGGCCAAACAAAAGGCACTCTCCAAATCACCCACTCTCCGGCCGCCCAAAAAAAGCTTTGGAACCCTCGGAAACCCTTCGGAGCGACGGGGTTCCTGCGCTCCACGTGGTTCCGAGGAACGGCTGGCCTTGACCGACCACTTCTTGGCGGATGGGATCCAGGCGGGGGAAGCGGCACATCTGCCGTTTCAACCCAAGAGTCCAGCACCCAGTCAGAACCCAAACACCTAGTCAGTCCAGCTCCAAGCACATCCTCCAAATCTCCGCGCGAGCGCGAGAAACTGGCAATTTCTCAAGGTTTCTAGCCCTGTTGGTTTAAAATACGGATTAATATTGATTAATTCTCTCCAACATTTAGGCGATTTAGATGTGGCCCCCCACCAGGGTTCGCAAGAACCACGGGGAACCGACTTCAGACGACGCCCGAATGGTTCGCCCCGGAGCTGTTACTTCAATTCCCTTCCGCCGGGTAAAGAACGCTGTTTTCCTTTCACACATTCTTGGTGCGCATGATGTCAGATGTCCCCACCTCACCATGCCATGCTGGCTTTCCGGAATGGACACCTATATGCATCCATTCCAACAGCGAGCGGTTTCTTTGTCATCAGATTTAAGCAAACTTACACACTTGCAGAAATGGAGTCCGTTTATTCCCTAGACACCTTCACCCCATATCCACCAAAGGGTCAGGGGAGCAGGCTCAAGCCGCCAGGATCAAGCCTTTGTGCTGGAATTTCTCCCCAACTGCATGGCAAATGCTAAGGCACGGGCGTGCGCGCGCCAAAACGCCCGCCGCGCTCGCTTTTTCTGCACAGGACCCAGAGACTGGGTTGTTGGTCTTCAGTTTCACCCAATGGGAATCTCGTATCAAAACCAGTGTGCTTGTGTTGTTGTTTGTTGAGATCAAAGATGATCGAAGCGTATGACCTGTATAACAACAGTAAACAAGTACATACGAGGGATAAGCGTCTTTGGCAAGACTAGCACACGTTGGCCCACTAGTAGAAATCATCTACCAGGTGTGCATTTGTTGTTGGAATCTCAACCCCTTTTGCAGGACTTGTGCCCCCATATGACACCAGACATCAGAAATGTCAGGAAGTTGCAGCCTGCGGTGTGTTCAACGAGTCATTATGGCCCAGTTTGCCCTTCAGTGGGGGTATCATAGGCGACTTCAGCGCTAGCGCTGTTCTCCAAGAAGCCCTTGGCCAGGCCAATACCACTGTCGGCCTCGTCGGGCTGCTGGGTGTGTTGGTGGACCTCCTGAATAACCTGAACACCAGTGGCCTGGCAGAAGCGGCTAGAGAATCTTCTGGGCAGGGGATGAAAGGCTCCATGATAGAGATTTCCCCGAAGCTCAATGATAGATTCACCAGGAACGCCATTTAAATAAAGGAGGCTTGAGGCGTTTTTTCATTTTGACAAGGACTGCCCCTCATCGAGTCGACCATGTTTGATTCTCGATGTATATGTGGTGATATGTGGTGTGAATGAGAGGTGATTTTGAATGACCAGCATTTCTGTTGGGACCAGTATTTATGGCAATTGCTTTGTCAAATTGTTGACTGGTGGTTCAGCTGTAGTGAAGACCAATTTCTGAAGGATGCTCTTTATGCTGCTTGCTTTCTTTTTGGATGGAGGAGCTAGTTCATGCAGGACTTCCAAAAGATCCCCAACCGTTTTCGGGAGAAGGAGCATCCCGTTCGACTGCCTGGAGCTCAGACCATTTCAAAGCACGAAAGACCTGCGAAATCGTAAGGCTTGGAGTCTATGCCGCAGATGGTGCCCGAGCTTTTTCAGTTCTTTCTGGGGGAAAGCGGGGTGGGCGGTGGTGTTCTCAAAATGTTTGCACATTATAGCCACACCAAGACTTTCATGCAGTTTTAGTCTATTTATTTGGTGGCTACGAATTATTCCTTGGGACTTGCCCAAGGCCGTTGTTGATTTATCAACTTTTGATACTGCTTTTGGATGTCGGGTTTGTAAAAGTATGGCCAAAGAATGTATGGCTGATTAACTAGTGTTCCTGGTGCTGTGTGCAAAGTTTTTACGTCGATCCTGTCAGATGCTGTGCATGTGATTTTCACCCATCTCAACTCCACCCAATGACTATACTTGCAGGTTTAGGTAGCAGATAACCAAGTGTGGAAGTTCCAAGTATGTACCAATGTTACCAATGAATTAGAGCTGGGCATGCCGTCCGGAGTCCTGATAGCTGATAATGGAATGATGATCTTGTCAGGGGCCCTATGAATTTGAGACCAGATCGACCAGATCCACCTGCATCACACGAAGTGTGATCATGTTGTTGTGTAAAGAAGAAGGGGTGGGATCCAGTCAGGACCCCCTTGGACTGCTAGCGCTGGGGATCATCAGGCTTAGATGACATGGGTACATCAAGAAATCCACAGATCCTCCATTTTGCGGTACACTAGCTTCCAGGATAATTCGTTCACACCGCCATAGAGCTCTTACTCCAGAACCCCCCCCAACAAAAAAGCACATCAATCAACCTCGCGAATAAACCGGGTCTATTCTGCAGGCATTGGAGTCTTGTGCCCCCAAAAGCAAGCATGGAAGGAATCACATGGAAACACACTGTACACGCTGTTTGTGGTTGTTTGTGAGGTCCAATCTATTTTTGAGTGCCCATCTGCCACGAGGACAAAATGATCCCCGTGGACCTCTCAGAGATGGCGGAGTTCATTGCTGTGGTCCAAAATCGTTTCGTCTTCTTGACATGTGTCTCGCGGTGTCAACTTCAATTTGTGGGGCAGAATCCTGTCAGCAAATGCGAGCAGATGCACGCGGTTTCGGTTGAGTATTGTATGAGTGTTCTAGGCGTGTGTCAGCAGAATTGCCAATTCAATCCAGTTTTAGGGTGACATGAATTGTTACAGGTCATGAACTAGTTTGCAGAGGTGGGCCATCGTGAACCTAAGAGGGGCGCCCTTGACATCCCAGGAGAGTCTATTTGAAGATGACTGGAAGCCGCTAGGCAAGCAGGTTTGCGAAAAAAGCCCAAGCCTCACTGATCCATGCAGTCATGATCCCCCCGATGTAGCTAGTTTGCCAACTCACCGTATTGTTCTTTTTGTTTTCGACTCCTTTGCCCCGGCCGTCCAGTTCCTGACCGCGCCGGTCAAGGCAATTGGGGGCGCACCACCGATCCAGATTCCGACATGACCAGTCTGGCATACACGCTGCAGGTCGGTCCGGGTCGAACCTGACGGGGTCTGACCGGATTCCGTAGAAGAGAGCTCCCGCAAAACGATCCTAGCCTCAGTAGCGAAAGTGGTAGTAGAAGTAGGAGTAGGAGTAGCAGGGAGGAGGCTTTCAGGTCAGAATTGTAGAGGGAACCAAAGGCTGAACATTAGACATCTTAGCTAAATCCATCTAAATCTAAATGAAGTATTTTATTGAACGAATTGATTTGTTAACAACACCCTGGGTGAACACGACCTTACCCCAAACAAATCAGTAGTTTCGAACAATTTGCCAAAACTCTTTAATCATTCCCTAGAGAGTCAAGTGTATACGCCCAACTAACACCTGTAATTACAAGCCAACCCAACTAAACCTCCTACGCCCCATCCCTAAGACCTGTGGCCCTATACTCAAGATTATCCTTTGTAGTGCTCCAAGATGTCAAGTTGGTGCTCCAAGAGCCGTTGGTGTTGGAGTCTGTGGGGAAATAGAAGAGGAAACACAACAAAAAGACGCCACTGGCCCAGTATAGATCAGCCGCCCCAGTTTGGGCGCCCTCTTCCACAACGAGGCACAAGCACGGAGGTTTCACTGGCCATCGATTGGTCGAGTTTGTTCGACGTGCGCAGGACATTCTGCAGAAACAAGAGGTCTTAGAGGAAACTTGGCTTGCACCGAGGAAAGCCGTGGAACATCGGCGGCCATGGTGGACCAGAACACCCCTCGGATCGACGGACGATTTCACCCCTGCTTCAGTTGGTGACTTCGTGGTGCGATTCAATGTCCAGAGTTTGGGATGGGGTGACTGTTCCATGGGTGTACCCCTTTGATGCAATGGAGTTTGGGAGGTTGGATGAGGCAAAGATGAGCATCAAATAGGAAGCGGTGGTAGCAGATGACCAGCTCTTTGTCCGGTTCCAATCTAGAATGTAGCACACACAAATTGCACTGCTAAACGATGGGGTTTGACCCCATGTCCTGGTGGAGTGCCTCAACATGCAAACTAGGGGCATTTGATGACCGGCTGTCTTACCACGTCTGACGGGGACGAGATCCGTCTTCTCACGGCCGTGTCGATGATCGGCTCCATGAAAGTCGAGGCCTACATCATGCAGCTTGGCAGACAGCTTGGTAGAGGTAGGTGCATCCGTACAAAAGCTTGAAGCAAGGCAGTTGGGGTGGTCATTGAGCAGGCATAGCTGGCACTATAGCTGGCATAGGTAGCTTCTCTGGACATGAACCATTTTGAGCCAATCAACCACTGAAAGATTACAGTATAAAAGCATACGCTTGACATGTCAAACAATACCTCTGATATGCATTAAGCTGAATACTCCAGACCCGCTATTAGCCCAGGATATGACCTTGCTTTAGGAGTTGAAAGCTCGATGTTGCTCCAAACACGTGTTCAATTCGAGGGGCCAGATTTGCCCCTTACGACCCAGTGTGTTCGACAATTTTTGAGGGTTGTTGTTGTTGTTGTGGTGTTCACAGGATGGAACAGGGAGAGCACCAGAAAACATTTGATTGGAATGACTGGGATGCAATTATGAGATATGCACATTATACATTCGTTTAAGACAATGCACGGGACAACATTTCCCCTCCGATATTTCCCCTAGACGAACGTTGCTTCAAGAAGCCTTCCTGTACTCCAGGAGGCAAATAGATAATGGTCAAAGAACCGGTTGCGCCATCTACCCCTATGTAAAATAGGCCCATTTCACACAGGTGCTGATGGCTTAACGGGTTGTGGGTTGAGCCAGCCATGCAGCATTTCCAGCATGCGAAAATCACAGGTTTTGCAACAACTGTGGAGAAAAAGACAGTTAAAGTTCGACTTCTTGGCTGTAATCATACACCGTTCTGAAAGTAGGTCAATGGATTCTTCATCACTTGGAGCAGTGGATTGCGCAACACAAGGTGAGTTTGGTTGGGATTGACCAATTTGTTCAATACTTTGCCAATTTGTTCTGTGCCGGCGTGTGTTGGAAAGGGAAGGGGCCGGGAAAGGACAAGTGGAGGAAAGGAAAGAAAAGGAGAGAGGAGAGGTGAAAGACAAGGAAAGGGAAGAGAAAGTGAAGGAGAGGGAGAGGGAAAGGAGAAGTTAAGGAAAGAAACCAATAGGAAAGGAAAGAGAAAGTGAAGGAGAGGGAAAGGACGTGGAAACAAATGGAAAGGAGCGTAGGTGAGAGGTGAGGTTGTGCCATCTACTGGTATTTTGTATATGGGGGGGTCAATCTAGGCCACTACTGTGCCATCTATTTACTGTCGCGGTGTGCAATCTGTTTACTTACCGGTATGTATATGTTACTGTAAATTGCTGTAGACCTAATTGTTTCAAGTGATCAAAGAGAACCGCTTTGCCCATTCTAAAGCTTGACAGAGTTGCTTAATCCAAAGGATGGATGGGACGTTAATTCAATCCAGAATGGCTGCGTGTTGCATTTCGGTGGGTGCTAATGCCCCGTAATGGTGTTTCAATAAGCCTTTCTCCTCTCTCTCTCTATGTGTATATAAACCAGCGTTGCTTTAGGAAGCTGTTGCTAGGTCCAAATCAAATTCAGACGATACGTTTTGCCTTAAGACTTTGCGTGTTAACCATGAGTATGGGAATGCGTTGTGCAGATGTGTGGCATGGGAGGGCGGTTTGCGAAAAGCCACACAAAGGCTTAAACCATTGCGAGTCAGTTTTAACACATTGGATGACCATGCCCCGTCCTTTAGGAACACAAAATACTGGATTGGGAAGGACCTGCAGCAGGGGTCCGCCAACACTTAAAACACTTCTTGGGGTGCGCATACGGCTGGAAGGTGGTAACTAGTTTAGACATGTTTAAAGTTTATATACTTTGTTTATAGTTTCTTTTACAGTATATATAATATTTATATGCGCCAACAATTTTAGTTCTGTAGTTGGAAAAGGGAAGTCTCCAGCCCGTAGTGGCGTGCAAACGCCACAAACCTTGCCAAGTCAGTCAACGGTACCGTACGGCACCATAACGTTACGGTGCCCTGGAACCACCTCACCGGAGTCGGTGTCCATTTGTGGATGTTTTTTTGGTCAACAGCTGTTGGTGTGCTTTCAACTCCAACACCTCCAAAACCTCTACAGACGCAAACTCAAAACGAATTGTTTCATGGTGAGTCCTTGGAGATGTTCTGCCGCAGATGAAGTTGAGCCTAGCTGACTGGTACTTAGTATATAAGGAATAAGGGAATGGATCCTGAGGTATCTACAGGGGGGTGGTTCATTCCCTCATTCCCTACGAGTCGCACCAGTTTGCCGCTTCCAAATCCAAGACGGGCACCGATGCCGGGCCTGAGGCGAAGGCATGAAGACCCAACTGCGCTGGTCACGCCTGAAGGGAACACTCGTGCCAGCAGGCTGAGCGCGACGCCGGACATGCACCTCGAGCGGGTCAACAGCACTTTGGCAGCCGAGAATCGAACTGGGCGCAACATGTAAGGCAAGCGTTAGCGATCGCCCAGTAGGGGTTCAGGAAATTGGGGTGAATCATGTTGTTTCATGTGTTTGAATTGAGGTTCTGTGTGGAGACTCAAGCTCTCAGGAAGATAAAGGACGATTGATTACTTAATCAAAGTAGTTTATAGACGCCTTACTTTCAACCATGGTGACGCGGCCGGCCTTTTCCCTGTATTCTTTTGCTTGACAGGCTGACCCAGACGAACAAGTCAGATGAATCCGATCGGCCGAACTCCTTTTGTACCTCAGGCATGAGTTCGTCCACATCGCAGGAAGTCCGGCAAGCGGTTTTCTAAGGCCGATGTCCGGGCAGGGGAAGTTGGAAAGGGAATGAGAGGGAGTTTTTGTTTTCTTCGTAATGTAGACTCTATTATATATATATATATAATACCCCCCAATTGCATTTGAATTGGACATCCTCTTCACGGATGTTTGTGAGAGTTACGTATGGGGGCTTTACTTATCAAGAGTCTACATGAATGGAACCTGGATGAACCTAGAGAACGGCTGGCCATTCAGCCTGTGGGGCAGGTGTCTCACATTCGCAAACTACCACCCAGTCTTGGCCCATGACTGGAGGTTGTCCTTCTCATGCTGGATGCTTCAGAAGTTGCTTTTCCCATGTGACATGTGTTTTGTGATAGCACCGTTTTTTCTATTTGAGTTCAATGGGAGTCTTTGACTTTCTTCTTTGCTCAAGAGGTGCTGCCCAAGCACCACCCCGAAAAGGGCTCAGTTGTTGGAGCCATCGAAAGCCAGGAAGTCAAGTGAGAGTTTGTCCCTGGCTGCTGTTGATTTTCGTGGCCCCAGATGTAAATTGGCGTGGCTGCTGAGGTGACGGGTTTGTGAGTGCAAACCATGTCAGAAACGCGAGCAAATGGGAGGAACATTGCAATGACCTTACCGTACCCCCTATAACTCTTAGATACTTTGTTTCCATCAACTAACAGTTGAGTTAAAACATGTGTCACACATGAGAGAGTTAACGCAAACGCTGCTAGATTGCTTGGCCGGGGTGCTTTTGCATGTGGGGCCTCCACTACGCACCGTGTGGGTTTAGCTTCCAACTACTGTCAGGGTCTCCACCGTCGGTTGACAACGGCGACGTAGAAAACACCCAGACACGTTGGAGCGAAAGAGTTTCACCAATCGCTGAAGTGGCCGATTTTTTTTGGACACATCCGAAGTGTTTGATATTTTTCCACGGCTGGGGAAGCCGTGGATGGACGGAACTGAAGCTGGGGGGCCATGGCGAGCCTCAACAGCTGAGATAGCACGCTGCCTGGATCTCGTGTAGCACTCTTCCAGCCACCAACTGGGCGAAGCATGATGAAGCAGCTGCCATGTGCCTGAGCTTCAGTGACCCCAATTCTCCTTGCCTTGCCCCTACGGCCACTACGACCTGACGGGACGCCTGGTAGTCATGGTCGTTTTGGCATTTGCCGATCAGATGTGATCGGTCGTTGTGAGGTGAAGCACCGCAAGATGTGACCCGATTTGCTCCGGGCGAAGAGTTGGACTACTTAACGACACCGATGTTCGTCGCTGTTGACCACCATTCAAGGAAGGTTTTTGCTCTGAGACTTTTGAGTTGATGCCTGCCGGATGCCAGATGCCAGACAGGCAGGGCAGTAGAAAGAATCCTACAGCAAAAGCTGTGGGTATTGATGACCACGGCATGTTTTCGAGTTGCGGAACAGCAACGTGATGGAAAACAATCATTAAGAAGTGTGCGGTGGACCAGAAACACCATCCAGATTCCAGATCCTATGCCACTGTGTGCATGTAAAAACACATATATATATATATTTATTATATATATACATATGATACTATCATTAATTATATAGAATCTATCTATATATATATATATATTTTTTAGCCAGAAACATATGCAAAGCCAGTCCAAATCCTGTGAAAGCATAACCCCGTGTGTCATAGTTGCGATACATAGATGCAATATGATGCAATGCCTATTGTCCCTCGACCTCCCGCATTGCCAAAGGCACTGTGGTCGGGAGTCATTGCTATTTTAGCATGCAGCGCTGGTAGGATTTGTGCATTGATCATCGGTGGATCGCAGGTAGGCGTTGATGTGATCTATCAAGAGGGACAGCCGCTTCACAACCTGACAGGTTCCGGTAATTGAAGCCGGGAGCAGGGGCACCCTGAAGTTATTCCTAGTCAGAACTTGTCCATTTTCCGACGGACATGAGGCATGAGGTCGGGACATGATTGGGAAGAACTGCCATGCGCTTACACGATGAGGGTGTGTGACATGAAATCCACATCATCCGCATCGCCTTTTTGCACGTTCCCCCCTTACGAACTGATTCGGCCTGGTCCTAGTCCTGGCGGAACGAACTCCACTCGGGAACGAACTCTAGGAGTGCACCAATGACACGACTCCAAAGCAAATAGATTTGGCTGAGCAAATCAATGGCTGCGCTTGACACGTCCGAGACACGGCTGCGATGGTCGATGCCTGTCAGACCTACCTGACAGAGTGAAACTTTAAATCCCAGGACGGGCCAAGCATGTCACGAAGTATGCACCATGAGACCCAGCATGTAACCGAGTAACCAAACTAAGTGAGCGTTCCTTTCAGCTCACTTTACAGACATTGAAGACGTATCAGACTCGGCTTCCAACGATTCCAGCAAAGCCATAGCCTCAAAGCACATAGCAAAGCACACCTTCGAACATGGGCAGAGTGGGGAGTGATACTGTAGGCCAATTTCTGTGTCAAAGTGTAGCACAGTGTGTAGCACTTTGGGGTCCAGCTGCTTCGGCTGCTTGGCTGTTCCTTCGTGGATATTTTGCACCATAGGCAGATCCTTCCGCATCTAGGCTGAAGATCTCCCAACGAAACCTTCATCACTCGCAGAGGACGAAAAGTACGCCGAGATGAGGGAACTAATATATTATGTAACTCGGGCTGTTGTTGAGCAGGAATGCTGGGCCCCAATGGCGCTTTGTTAGAACATTAGAGTACTTTGATGTATGTATATTGTTTGCATGCCTTGCCTAATCAAAGATCTACAAGGTCCTGTTCCCTTTGGGGTTCTGGGTGCATGACGCAAATGAATGTTGAACTGTGCCCTTGCACAGGGAATCAGTATACACCTCCTACATACCGCCAAGGCCGCCACATGCCTTTCTTTCCCAGTGAGTGTTTTTGCCACGAATTCTCCGTGTCATGTTATTTTCCTTTGGGCACCGTCAAGACACCAACAGCAGCGCCACCGTCACACCGGTGCAACAGTGAATGGATTCGACACCAGGTGCCGATGGGTTCACAGTGCCGTCCTTGTGCGGGAATGTGTGGGTTTACTACGCCTGGTCACCCCCGGCGCTCGACCACGAGGGCAGCACGGTCGGGCTGAGGGAGGATGGGTGGTGCACGGTGCAGGTGGTGCACATCGGATCGCGGCTTCGAGCAACTCGCCACTCAGGTGGCTGACGTTAGCTCCCAAAGCACGTGGGCCATTTGAGCCTGTAATTAGCTATGTATCGGGGATGGAACCTTCCTCCTCTCCACCCCAGACCTCCTAGAGCAAGTCCAGAGAGAGAGAGAGAGAGGGAGAGAGAGAGAGAGAGAGATAGATCCTCTGAGAGGGAGACACGGGTCTGGCAGAGTCTAGCAGTCTATAGCAGCTAGGAAAGACAGGGAGTCTAAGAACGTGGCACTTGGATTCATGCTCAAACATGGTGGAGTTTGAACTGCACTGGTGTGTGGTTTGAAGAGTCAGCCAGCCACCCCTTCCATCCCTGCCAGGGGCGGCCAGGGTCACGTGCTGTGAGAGTTTCTCGGGGCGAGGGCGCGGCGAGGGTGGTGGAAAAAGAGAAGGGCTCGCTCAAACCAGTAAGCTCCTACAATTTGTGGCGAAACTGCCCGTAAGCCATCATAGGCGCCTGCAATCCATAGCTTCTTGAGATCATTTGTCCACTCGACTCAAGAAATTTGGAAAGCATATCCTGTTGTACTTCCTAATTTCTTATTGCATGCATATGTGTGTGTGTGTGTGTGCGTGCGAACCTTGCAGCCAATGGGCTTGGCCAGTGCGTGCCGTGCTGAGCATGGGCCAGATGCTCAGCTGTCTGGCAGCCACAGAAGATTACAGAAACACAAGTCTCAGGTCGCTGTGGATCATATACAAAAAATAGATCTAAACCAGGGAGCCAGGGCTTCCTCATTGGATTCCTGCATGCTTGATCTCACATCCTGCCTCGTTCAAGTTGAATCGGTGCAATTGACCCGTCGCTGCTTCTCACCGGAGGTGACGACACCAAGATTCACAGGCGCCCGGGGTTCGCGATCCCACGAGACCGTGGGTTGGCTGGCTGTGAAGGGTCGGCAATGAGAGATAAGAGTCAGAGCACATCTTGTGTCCAAGAGCGCTTGGAGATCAGACATTCAAGACATTCCACAACTACTTCATACCCATGAACATTTCTTCTAGGAAATGTAGATAGTGCGCCGCTGTAATATATATATATATATTATATATATGCTCAAGCGTATATGAGTATATGCTACTTCTCATAGTTCTGGGCAGATGGTAGAGTTTTAGAAGCTATCGCTGTCGGCACCTGATCCTTGGAATTGGCACCTGACCAGGCGTATCACTTGGCTGAACGGCAATGTCTTCCCTGATCGGCCCATCGACCCTGAGGCAGGTCGAGGCAGGTCAAGGCAGGTTGAGCATGCCGATCGCTCAACTTGTTGATTGCAGTTAATGAAGTACTCCGTTCGTAGCGTCCATGCTCCGTTCGTAGCGATGCGGCGATGCCCTTGGCTCCGTTCGTAGCGTGGGTTATAAAGGTCAGGACACGTGTTTGGGGTCTTTGAGACATTGGGTTCTAGATGTTTTATTTTCATCGACCCGTACGACTTTCCCGGCGACAATGCCGCGTGCACAAGTCAATAAGTCAATGGTCCCAGAAAAAGTCATGTGATTGCAGAATCGCCTTTTGCAACAGACATAAGTCGGTTTCGCGGTCAAACATAAGTCGTCAAGACAAGTGAATCGTCAACATGTTGAACCAGGGGGTGCTCCTGTAGGAAAACATGTCGCGCCAGGGGTGCTCCTGTCAGTCACTGTGAGAGTCACTCCTCACAGATCTCACGGACTTCGCAGGGAGGAAGACCATCCACTGTGATCACCACACGAAGCGGTCAGGCCATCGAAGCGGTCAAGAGACTGGGAGTCTCCCGTGGCTTTGAGCTGCTCAAGGATGGGGAACAGCAGCTGCGTTCTGGTGGTGGACCAGTGTGGCTGCGTTCAGGGGTAAGGCATCATGAATCATTCTGCTTCTTTTTCAGGGCCTGGTTTGGCAGTGTGGGGACCCTTCTTGATCATTCACGATCCAATTCTCAGGTGATCAAATGAACCCATTCAGTGAGCAGAGGGTTTTGGGCCCCTGATTTCTTTGACTCTCCGCCAAAAAATCCGTGTGGCTCAAAGCTGGAGGATGCTGAGGAGAAGTCAGGCAAGATCACGAACCCCAGTGGCTACTTGAAGGCGCCAAATCGAAGGAGCCGTTGTGCGACTCACGAACTCGTTCCGCGAGGCGGTCGGCGCTGAGGTAGGCGCAGGGCAGAGGACTCCGTCGTTGTGAAGGAATGGAACCCCGAGGATCAGTGAAATAGCTAACTGGCTTTGCAGAAATCATCGCAAATGCGTGAAGTCTTGCGAAACCAGTCCTTGCGTGCGTTTCTTTTGCAGGCTGCTGTGTTGAGGGAAGGTGTTGTCGCAACTTGGCAAGGAAAAAAGGTCGGGGATTTGCATAGCTGGCAGAAGAACCTTGAGGTAGAAATGGGGAAGCACCCCTTGTCCAGCATGATGCCCTGTCGTTGAAATTTGGCATTGAAGAACGCTTGAGCTGACACGATCCTGTTCCAGTTGGTCTTCCAGCGGTCCATGTTTCATCATGTTGCATGCTCCGATCATTTGTGTTTCATAGCCAGTTTGGCTGAGAAAATTGGCTCCGCCTTCAGAGCCTTCGAGAGTTCTTCGGCCAGTTTGGCGTAGCAGGTTCGTGTTTCGAGCCATGAGATCAATGCCAATCCTAACGCCTTGGCATCGTGACATGAAGGACAATGTGAAGAGCCGGGTGAAGGAGCAGGTGGCCGGGCGAACAGGCGCCTCTTGGGAAGATCGCCTACAAGAGCAAAAAGCCAAGAAGGTTCAAGTGATGAAGTCAATTGAGAAGGAACAGAAAGAGCTCATCAAAGCTGCAACAGAGAAAGGGATTGAAAAGCAGCAGGTCTACTCTCCGCTCTTGACCCTCCGATCTGCACCGAATCTGTCGGCTGAGAAGCAAGCGCAGAGGCTTGAGGAGCGAAAACAAGACATGTCAGAGAAAGTCCGCTCATATGCCATGCAGCGCCGGGAGATTTTGGAGAAGATGCGTACCCGAGAGCCCCTTTTTCGGATTGAGGATGTCTCAACAGCCAAGGCACTTCTCGCAGAGGGCCGTAGGAAGAAGCAAGAGGAGCTTCAAAATGAGGAGAAGAAACGATGGGAGCACTTGGAGGAGTGTGCAATGAAAGGAGTCCAGAAAAGGGATGCCCTCTATGACTTGCACAACAGCCCATCTTTCGATGAGCGTTTGGCGAAGGCCGTCGAGCGCAAGAAACAGGAATTGAAGGAGCTTGAGAAAATCCAGAAGGAGCGCATCCGCGATGCCATTGAAGTTGGACACCAGAAGTCTACTTCGGTCTCTCCACTCTTGGGCGTCTTGCGGAATCCTCCCGACAACGCTGAGAGGACACGGGAGATCCTGGAAGAGCGCCAGCGAGTGATGGCCAGCGTCGCCAGGGAGTACTTCCGCAAGCGGGACGACATGCTCCAGCGTCAGCAAAACCGGACACCGCTGTTCTCGTGTGAGGCAGTGGAGGACAGGGTTCACTCGTCATATTTTGATGATTGTCGTAATTGGACATGTTTGGAAATAGGACACAGGAACCCCCACAGAGAAGTCGTTTCGTTGTTTTGCCCCCTTGTTCCTCCGAGGATGCACAATTGCAGTTGGAAGAGCAAGCCCGAAAACGCAAGAAAGAGATGCAAGCCGAGCAGATGAAGCAGAGACAACACATTCAAGAGTTGCAGAACAAGGCATTGGCTCGGCCACTAATGATGGAGGCAAGATTGAACGTGATTTGATGGGCCGGCCACCTGTGCCATTTTTGATAGCTCCCGGTACCACAACATGCCAGTGCAATCCTCGCGAAGCGACACTGGCACCTCATACAGCTTTGGCACAAGATTTGTCATCATTTGTTTTTTGGACAGATACCGCGTTTGCGGGTTACACGTGACGTGTTGTGTTACAGTGTATATAATGAGTTTCATGGGACATCACTGAGTCAAAATACTGCAATCAACCGATGGTGCCAAGGTTGCCCAATATGTTTGTTGGGAATGTGGCGGTCTGTCTAAGCCAGACACAGCCATCCTTGAGACAGAGCATGCACCGGAGCACAGCCAAGCATGAATACAAAAGGTGCTGTAGTTCAGGCGACTCCAGCTGCTGGAATGTTGCATTGAAATTTTGATGCTGATCTACCTATTCTGAAAGCCCTGTCAGGAATCTACCCGCCCCTGCTCCGGGCATTCCATCATCAGCCAGTTAGCCATCCATCCATCCATCCATCCATCCATCCACATTCGTACCTTTATGTTCCCCTCCCATCCTCACCCATACTCCTCTTTAGTGTTTCCTATATGTGTTTTTCTTTTCAGACTTATCCGTCTCTTAACCCTTCCCATTCTCCTTCCCAATCATTATAATTCCCAAAGCCCCTACATTCTCAACATTCTCTCTCATTCTCATTACTTTCTCGCCGATGGACTCGTATCTTCCCAGTACCCTTTTGTTGGTGTCCTCCAGCGCCACTTCCTCGCATCATTCCCGAGGGGTTGCTACCTGTGTGAAGTGTCCAACGTTCTCAAAGAACGGCTGCCTGCCACGTGAAGTGTACTGCCAACCATCGTCATTGATTGATTCTTTTGAGTGATGCTTGGAGTCATTGATTTGCTGTGAATCATTTGATCTCAACCTCCGCCCTTTGCTTAGGCCCCAAGCCTCATGGCGCCCATTGCGCCGGTTCAGGTGGATCGGTCGTTTTCCATCCGGAGCGAAGGAAGGAACCGTGGAGCGCTGAGAGCGCCGTTTGAGTTGAGAGCGCCAAGGGGGGCGCGTGTGCAACGAGACCACGAACTCCAGAGAGAGAGAGAGGAAAAAGCACCATATTATGGGTAAGTTGGTGGAACAGATTGAGGAGAAAAAAGACAAACAAGGTATAGCAACACCTGCCAACCTCAACACATGTCACTCACGCAGCACTCCATTTCCCCGTCTTGTTGGCCTTTTGCAGTTCCCCTCTTCTCGTGTGCAGCTCTTGCGTGTGTCTCTATGTCTGACCTTTGTGCCTTCGTTGGAAGAAACACAGTCTCCACTTCACGCATGTTTCAAGTTATTTTATTGATGCTGCCCGCATGCCACCTCTTGGGTCTTTGTTCCTTCTTTAGGACTCACATCGTTCAACACCCTTGACCTGTACTCACTTGAGCCTGATTTGGAGAGGGCGGATAAATTTATACTTATTCACACCTTTGCAAAGATCAAGCTTTGTCTTACCTAATACCGTCTACCATCCAAGACAAATTTTAGCGCTTGACCCCCTGCGTGTCACTTCAGGCTCGTTTAAACATATTGAAGGCCCAGACGCTCCAAACAGCCCTTTGTTCCTCAAGACCTAGGGATTTGAGACCCCAGACCCCTCCAGAGGATTCGGGTCCCACCCCTCCATATGATGGTCCAGGGTCGCGCCTGGGGGAACCCTTTAAACTTACGCCCGCGCACGTTGCCAGGCCGAAGGAAAGGTGGAGAGGAGCGTTTGGTTTCGCCATGCCCGCACATTGTGCTGATAGTAACGCTGCAAGTGAACAATGTGAGTGAGTGTGTGTGTGTAAGAAAAAGGGATCCGACTCTTGATAAGACTGATACAATTATAGATGAAAATGGAAGGTAAGGGCCTTTTTCAGTCTTACATCCTTTCTTGCACATGTTAGATGAACAACCTCCAAGCCAGTCCACGCACAGGTAGGAGTTTGATTTCTCCCATTTCCCAGGAGAGCCAGCTGGCTCAACACCAACGTCTTTCAGGCATGCTGGAGCTGGTAACGAAAAGCCAACGAATCATTGACTGTTTTGTATCACAACGCCCGATATTCCTCACACCCCCATACTACCAAAGTGGCACCCCTGAAATATTATGAATTCAAGCTGGGCGATCTGTGGAATTGCATCGAGCCGCTTGAACTCGGGCCGGAATGATGAATTTCCAGGACCGGCTCATTGATGATGAGGCCTTGGGCCTTGTGACCAATTGCGGATATTGGACGGCAGCAGAGGGACACCGGCGACATGCAGTCGATCCACTCATGCAAAGCGTTTGCCCCCCAAAAACAACAATATGGGAGGTAGCTGTCAAACTCGTGAAGCCTCATGGACTCATTAATATTGTTGTCACCGTCCGCCACTCGTTACGAGAGTTGCTTCGGAAAAGGCGCAATGCAACTAAACCGGAGCAAACCGGAGCAAAATGGCATGTTTTGCCTGGTCAAGGCCATCGCCTGAAACTGGAGAAAGTGTTTGGTTCACAGGCCATCGCTGCCATGAAGACCCTGCAGATGGCCCGTGCCATGGAGCTCTTCAAAGATCTCGAAGAGCTTTGGCTGAGACACTTTAAACGTCAGAACCGCGACATGGGCCGAAGGAAAGGTAGGACGGTAGGACTCAGGGACTTGCTCATTGTGCCATTGACCTTGAAGGCCACACCAGTCTTGTTCGGCTCTTTCAACATAATAGTCGCCTGTATCGTTGCTAGTCCTTCTCCACAGAATCAGAAGATGAAGCGGCATTTGGTGACCAACGTTTTGCTCGGACCTGAGGAGAAGAAGGATCAGGTCCAAAATCCTTCTGGGTATTTGAAGGCTGCAATCAAAAGAGAGACGCCACCTGCTGCATCTTTTCAGGGCAATGCCCACGATGAAGGAAAGGTTCATCGGCGAGCCAGCTGGCTCAATGCCAACGTCTTTCCAGATCGACCCATTGACGAGGAGGTGCCGGAGATGGTGTTGGGGAAGGTGTAGGGAGTGGTGTAATCCACGTGGGAAAGCGGACATGTGATCCACGTGGTGAGTTACCAGGAGGATCATGTAGTCCATCACTGGAGACTAGCCTTTTATGAGCTGACTTTGGCATGGTTCAGCATCCCAGTGTTGCATGTTGGTCACGTTTCTTTATTTTGAACCTGCACTGGCAACAACAGGGGAGTGTAATCATCACTGGTTGAGAAACACTCACAGCAACTGCCGCTGTACCGTCCGAACTTGTCAGAAGTCTATACCCATGCACATGTATGACTGGCTGCCTTGCTGCTCGTTGGACCTACGGCAGGCCATTGCAATGTTGAAGGCCTTGGGAGCTGCACGTGCCATGGAACTATTTAAAGATATTGAAGAGAAGAAGGAACAGGTCCGAGTCCTGGCATAATTACAGGGGCTTTGCGAGAAATGGTGGCTCTAAGGCATTGACCGAAAGCTGCTTGACACTGAGCCGAAGGGTGCTAGAACAACCAAAAGCTGTGCTGCACAAAGCAGGATGGAATAATACCTGCATGAGGCGACCACATTTTTTCGGTACCTTTCTGGTTGGAACAGACACGTCGTGCGACAATTGTGAGCTGTTCACATTGCTTGACTAGTGCTACTTGCACGAATGTGTGGTCAGACCGAGTCATTTGGACAGCGCTGTGGTTTTGAGATACTTGGTGCTGGTTCGTTCAGACCACTTTACGAAAATGATCCCAAAAGGCATTGTCCACCCTTTCCGCTGTCCATGAGCCAAGTACCAGCCTTGAAAGCTAGAGAATACTAGATGAGCCAACTAGAGAGAAATCCTCGGCCCATTTTGCTCATGAACTAGGGGACCACAATGGACGAAGCAACTCAGGAAACCCCAGCGGCTACCTGAAGACTGCCGTGGCTCGGGAGCCGACGGGCCCGCCTTCGCCGATGCGCTCGCAGCCCGCGGCCTTGGGACCGGAGGCGCGGAGAACCGCCGAAGCAGCTGCATCCAGCTGCATCAAGAGAACCTCATTCAGATTCGTTGACACCTTTCTTTGTTTTTCGATGGGGCCCTCGTAAACGCAGAACAATGGCGAAGGACAGTCGTCCGGCGCTCCGGCTAAGACCACGGCCCAGTCTGCAAAACCCCATTCTCACATCGGGAATGGTCCCAGGAGAAGATCTACCGCCGTGGGTCCTGGCTCAATGCGAAGGTCTTTGCGGACCGGCCCATTGACGATGAGGTGCCCCGAATGACAAGCGTTTGAAGGCCATGCGAGCGCGATGTGCTCCTGAAATCACTAGTGCTGAAGGTATTCTTGGTTTCATGGATTGGCTTCTCCAGGAGCACCTGCATGGAACATGGGCTTTTCCAGGAGCAGAGGTGAGATGTATGAAAAACTGACCCGCTGCAGTGGATCCGTGCTGCCTTGGAATCAGAGGCTGATTGGTCACATGCCACATGCCCCCCGGGTGTGGATACCTGTGCCAAGGAACATGGGGCACGCCAGAGCAAGCCACTCCCAGTATTTCATTATATTTCGGTGCCAACTGCATGATAAATTCTACGAACCAACTCAAAAGAGGAAAACGCAGGAAACAAGAAACATGCATCAAACATGCAGAAACCCAGCTTAAAATCCGTTGGCTGCAGGGTCACGCCCCTGGGCATCCTAAGGCGCTCGAGGCGGTGAAGTCCTTGGGCATCCAGAGGGCCATGGAGCTCTTCAAGGCGTGGCCATGTTTTGTTTCTTGGCCATTCTGCTCATGTGCCATCATCACCATGCCATCATGTTCGCCATCAAGGAGATTGTAGTATTTGTAGTCCTTTTTTTCTCCGGAGTGGGCCCCAAGTAGGACAGTCTTCGCGTCAGGGTGTGTCCACGTCGTTCTTGGCGGGAAAGAAGCCACCGGACAGATGCCCCACAGACGACAGACGACATATCCTTTGGTTGCATGATGAGCACAAACCTGCAGATTCTCTTGGACTGGGCAGGGCCACCATCCAACAACTCAGGAAATAGTTTCTTCCTGACTTGGAAGCTTTTCTTTTGGAGCACGCATTTCAGCGAACCAACACGACGGAACCTTTGGGAAGACTATTGACTATTTCGAACAGGATATCTCCTCAACACAGGTGGTTGGATACACTCCCCGTTTCGCCGATGGGTATCTATACGTCCATTGCCCCCTCGCGCCCCCTTGATTTGCCCTGGATTCCCCCTTTGTGTTTCATCCATTGCCGCCTCGTGCCCCCTTGATTCCCTCTTTGTCTTTCATCCCTTGCCCCCTTGTGCCCCCTTGATTCCCCCTTCGTGTTTCATCCATTGCCCCCTCGCGCCCGCTTGATTCCCTCTTTGTGTTTCATCCATTGCCCCCTCGTGTCCCCTTGATTCCCCCTTTGTGTTTTATCCATTGCCCCCTCGTGCACCCTTGATTCCCCCTTTGTGTTTCATCCATTGCCCCCTCGCGCCCCCTTGATTTGCACTGGATTCCCTCTTTGTGTTTCATCCTTTCCCCCCTCGTGCCCCCTTGATTCCCCCTTTGTGTTTCATCCATTGCCCAATCGTGGACCCTTGATTCCCCCTTTGTGTTTCATGTGTTTCATCCATTGCCCCTTCGTGCCCCCTTGATTCCTCCTTTGTGTTTCATCCATTGCCCCCTTGTGCCCCCTTGATTCCTCCTTCGTGTTTCATCCATTGCCCCCTCGTGCCCCCTTGATTCCCCCTTTGTGTTTCATCCATTGCCCCCTCGAGCACCCTTGGTTCCCCCTTTGTGTTTCATCCATTGCCCTTTTGTGCCCCCTTGATTCCCTCTTTGTGTTTCATCCATTGCCCCCTCGTGTCCCCTTGATTCCCCCTTTGTGTTTCATCCCTTGCCCCCTTGTGCCCCCT